GCACTGACTATTAGAAAAGAAATTGGCGACAGAAAAGGAGAAGCAATATGTTACGAAGACCTTGGAATATTGTTCCAATCGCAAGGGAAATATGACCAAGCCCGAGAACATCTGGAGAAAGCACTTGCTTTTAGAAGAGAAATTGGCGACAAAAAGGGAGAAGCAACCAACTATGGAAAACTCGGAATATTGTTCTATTCAATTGACAAATATATCGAGGCCCGAGAATGTCAGGAGAAAGCGCTCGCTATTAGACAAGAAATTGACGATAGAAAAGGAGCAGCAACAAGTTACGAAGACCTTGGAATATTGTTCCAATCGCAAGGGAAATATGACCAAGCCAGGGAACATCTAGAGAAAGCACTGGCTATTAGAAGAGAAATTGGCGACAGAAAAGGAGAAGCAACATGCCACGAATTCCTTGGAATATTGCTCCAGTCGCAATGGAAATATGACCAAGCCCGAGAACATCTAGAGAAAGCACTTGCTATCAAATTAGAGATTGGAGACAGAAATGGGGAGGCAACAATCTTAGGAATTCTCGGAATATTGTACTACTTGCATGGTAAATGTGAGAAAGCCCGAGAATATCACGAGAAAGCGCTCGCTATTACACTAGAACTTGGCGACAGACAAGGAGAAGCAACAGTCTACGGAAACCTCGGAACGTTGTTTGAAGCCCTTGGTAAATATAGCAACGCCCGAGAATATCAGGAGAAAGCGCTTGCTATCACAATAGAAATTGGCGACAGAAAGGGAGAGGCAAAAAGCTACGGAAACCTGGGAATATTGTTCCAAGCCCTTGCTAAATATGACAAGGCTCGAGAATATCAAGAGAAAGCACTTGCTATCAACTTAGACATTGGAGACAGAAATGGAGAAGCAACAAGCTTGGGAAATCTCGGAACATTGTTCTACTTGCTTGGAAAATGTGACAAGGCCCGAGAATATCACGAGAAAGCGCTCGCTATTACAATAGAAGTTGGCAACAGACAAGGAGAAGCAACAATCTACGGAAACCTCGGAACGTTATTCCAAGCCCTTGGTAAATATAACAACGCCCGAGAATATCAGGAGAAAGCACTTGCCATCAGATTAGAAATTGGCAACAGAAATGGAGAGGCAAAAAGCTACGGAAACCTAGGAATATTGTTCCAGTCGCTTGGTAAATATGACAAGGCTCGAGAATATCAGGAGAAAGCACTTGCTATCACAATAGAAATTGGCGACAGAAATGGAGAAGCATCAAGCTACGGAAACCTGGGTATATTGTTTCAATCACTGGGTCAATGCGACAAGGCCCAAGTATATCAGGAGAAAGCTCTCGCCATTAGAATAGAAATTGGAGACAGGCACGGAGAAGCAACAAGTTACGGAAATCTCGGAACATTGTTTGAAGCCCTTGGTAAATATGGCAAGGCCCGAGAATATCAGGAGAAAGCCCTTGCTATCACAATGGAAATTGGTGACAGAAATGGAGAAGCAACAAGCTACGGAAACCTAGGAACATTGTCTCAATCACTGGGTCAGTGCGACAAGGCCCGAATATATCAAGAGAAAGCACTCGCCATTGGAATAGAAGTGGGCGACAGGGATAGAGAAGCAATAGTCTGCGGAAACCTCGGTACATTGTTCAGAGCCCTTGGTAAATATGACAAGGCCCGAGAATATCAGGAAAAAGCACTTGCTATCCGATTAGATATTGGCCATAGAAATGGAGTGGCAACAAGTTACGGAAACCTGGGAACATTGTTCCAAGACCTTGGTAAATATGACCAGGCCCGAGAATATCAAGAGAAAGCACTTGCCATCAGAATAGAAATTGGCGACAGAAATGGAGAAGCAGCAAGCTACGGAAACCTTGGAAAACTGTTCGAGTTAGTTGGCAGATATGAAAAGGCCCGAGAATATTATGAGAGAGCACTTGCTATCACTACAGAAATTGGCGAGTGGAATGGACAAGCTAAAAACCACAACAACTTCGGGACATTGTTCTCGACGCTCGGTGAATATGACAAGGCTCAAGAACATTACGAGAAAGCACTAAGAATGTGGAAGAGCGTGGGCAATAGAAAAGAAGAGGCAACCATTTATGGAAACTTAGGAAGTCTCTTCATTGTGCTCGGTAAATACCGAAAAGCTGACGAGTATTTGGAGAAAGCACTAGCCATTAGATTGGAAACTTGTGACCGAAGAGGAGTAGCAGCAAATTACGAACACCTTGGGCTAATTTCCCTTCAGTGTGGTTGTCATGATAAGGCTCAAGAATATCACAATAATGCCCTTGCAATTCAAATGGAAATTAGCGATAAAGAAGGAACATTGGCCAGTCTTATGAATTTAGGATTGTGTTTTCAGTCGCTTGGTAAATATGAAATAACCAAAGAATACTTCAAGAAGGCTCTCCTTTTAAGCAGAGATATTGGAAACAACTTGAAAGAGTTTCAATGTCTTTGTTGTCTAACGATGTTGTCATGTGAAGAACATGAAGAACGTGAAGAAGCCATCTCGTATCTTTTTCAAAGTATTGCAAAATACGACACTCTGCGAGCTTTTCTGGACGACAACGATCAATTCAAAACATCCTTTTTAGAGGAGCACGGCACCTTTCCTTACAAGTTGCTCAGTGTGTTGCTTTGTTCTGCCGGTAAACCAAAAGACTCTCTTTATGTCGAAGAGCTGAGACGGGCGAGAGGCCTGGCTGACTTGATGGCAGCTCGGTACTCTATTGAAGAGCAGATCTCAGGGAATCCACAATCATGGCGTGGCATTCAGGAAATTATCACAAGGGAGGTACACTGTGCATGCCTGTACCAGATGAGATGAGCTATTCATTTTTGGGCCTTGAAGCAAACTCGGTGACCGGATTAGTCCCTGACTTAGATGAGTTCCTGAAAGACAGCTTTCGCAGCCTTGGCATTTTACCTCAAGAGAATTGCGAGGATCGATCTCTAGATGACACCGAATCGATGTCACTTCGCCATGAAAGCCGCCCAGCTCCACGCGATTATAATGCCAAAGATATCAAAGCAAATCTCCAATTATGTTACGAGATAATCATTGCTCCTGTGGCTAATCTTCTTAAGGAGCCCGAGATTATAATTGTTCCCGACTCTTGTATGTACCAAGTACCATTTGCAGCCCTAATTGACGAAGGTAACAAGTATTTATCAGAGACATTCCGCCTCCGAATCGTTCCCTCTTTGACGACCCTCAAGCGCATTCAGGACAGTCCTCCAGACTATCATAGTCAAACAGGTGCGCTGATAGTGGGTGACCCTGAGGTTGGAGAAGTGATTCATAACGGAAGACGCAAGACAATGACAGCGTTGCCATGCGCAAGAAAGGAAGCAGAGATGATTGGAAGACTTCTCGGCGTAACGCCTTTGATTGGAGACCGTGCGAAAAAGCAAGCTGTACTTCAAAAGATAAATTCAGTGAGTCTAATTCATCTAGCTGCCCATGGTTGTGCCGAAAGAGGGGAGATTGCTCTTTCTCCTATGCGCCCGTCGCTCTCTATTCCACGAGAAAAAGACTACCTTTTAACAATGGTGGACATTTCAAAAATCCAGCTGCGAGCTAAACTGGTGGTACTTAGTTGTTGTCACAGTGGTAAGGGAGAGATTAAAGCCGAAGGAATGATCGGAATCGCTCGAGCCTTCTTAGGATCCGGCGCGCGCTCTGTGTTAGCGGCACGCTGGGCCCTGAACGACGAAGCCACAGAGCAGTTCATGACTTGCTTCTACAAACACCTGTTCCGTGGTGAAAGTGCCAGCGAATCTCTTCACGAGGCCAGAAGGTGGATGAGAAATAACGGTTTTGAAAAAGTTTCTGATTGGGCTCCGTTCATGCTAATTGGTGACAACGTGACATTTGATTTTGGAAGTTGGTCAGTGCCCATCGCACCGTGATAGGAACGAGTCATATTAACCCTCTGATAATGTGATGGACTAAGTAGGACGAGGGCTAGGAACGATAAATCGCCAGCCCGTAGTGAGAGAACATTATTTGTGAAGGACAACTCGGATCGATACACAAAGCAAAACATTTTTGTAAAAAAAGTTCATTTGACATGTCCGTTTAGCATTATGAGACAGGATAGTGTTTAATGTACTCTTAATAACAGTTATGTGTTTTTAGAACAAACTTCATATGCCATTTTTTTTTACAAAAGTGATAATATTACTAGTCAAGCCAATTACATAATAACTAACCATTTTTTCGAACGTGACTAGTCAGTGTAGCAAATAGCAATTTTTAAGTAAAGTTTCAAGTCAAGCAAATTTTGAGAAAATTTACGAAGAAAAACTGGTTTTTGTCGAGGTTTAAGTTTCTGTAAATATGTTTAAAGCTTCTGACGGAAAATTAAATTCATCACGATAAAAGATAAAAAAAAGGTTTCTTTCAATAGATACTCTTGTATACTCATATACATACAAACACATCGAAGGGCCGTAACTAGAGGTGACGAGCGATGTCACACTTTATGAATTTACCGGTGCAAAAGTGGGAACAAATAGGAGCGGATACTCTTATTTTTACTCATTTTTTCGGTTTTCCCGGCCTTCAATCTGATGGAAAAGAGCGCGCTATTCCACTAGAGTCAAACATTTACGTTCAGCATCAGCACTCTGTAATATAGGACTTCTGGAGTCCTCGGACGAATCAAAGGCTGCCCCACAGGCTCTCTTTCTTGTATGATGCTAAACCTCCCCACCTCGGAGTTTAATTATCCTTGTCATTATGATCTTTCTCATTTTTGGATCTTCCGTTCACTTTGTGCAATATCAGTGGCGGCACTTTCGGCATCAAGCACCAGTTGAAGTTAAAATATATTTAAGGGGTCTAGGTCATGTATTGAGGGCTTCCTTTATTGTGTAAATGAGAGACATTGCATAGTCTCCAGGCAATTTTAAATCTGGCTTAGGTGGGAGGTATTGTTCTAACACGAATTTACAAGTGATTACATTCTCTAGGGCGTTTCTTTCCCACGAAGCGTTTTAACAAGCCATTCTAAGATATTTTGTACCCCCATTAGATGAACCCAGTTTGAGAGGAGTGTAAGATGAATTACAGCCAAGTGAGCCAGCCATATCCGGCGAGCCAGCGGATCGCACTTCAGGGATCATAAAGTCACTGTCAGAGGGCCTAGGACCGGGTGGTTTGATTGGCGGCTCCTCGTCCTGCTCATCTTCCTCTCGTGAAGCTTCAATGGTTTTCCTGGCCTTGTACAGCAGCCACCCTAATACTCCAATGATGATGACAAGAACAACAGAAAATCCAGCTAGGCAGCCAACCGCAACTTTCATCTGGTTTAAGCGGCCAGCTAAGTGAAGTAGAAAAACAAAACTTGAGGTCAACACATACATAAGAATTAAATGAGAATTTTTCGTTTAATACAGCGCATTTGAAAACAAATTTTTTCAAGAGTTCTTTGATTTTTTGTAATCTTGGACCACGGCAAGCAGTAAATGTTCATAAATATGCCCTTTTTTAATTACGAGGATCACAAGGTGAACGGGTTCAAAATCTTGATCAAAGTACTACAAACGTGCCACCTCAATAATCTTCCTTAATTTCATGACTGCAACGTTCTTTGTTTGGTAAAATACTTTCGTAAGGCGTCAGGGTTTGTGGCAAAACTCGCGCTTTGTCTACTGATCTCTCAGTATTCAATTTAGATCACATTATTGTCTGACTTGTCAAAGCACGGAAAGAAAAAAAAAAAACCTATTGTGCTCACCATTCGAGACCCTCATTTTCATAGAAGTCGTTCCCAGGTTATTTCTGGCTTCACATTCGTACACTCCGAAATTATCACCGCTGACTTCTGGTATATTAAAGATGTTTTCTGATTTGGACCGATGACCATATAGAGGCTCCCCGTCCTTGTACCACGTAATGTCAGCAAATGTCGTATTAGCTGTTTCACAGTGCAATGACAAATGATCTCCTTTTTCAATGGAAATCTGTCCTTCATTTCCCGCTCCCCACATCTGACTCAGGACCGGAGGGACTACGGAAGAATTTCGAATTAACTAATAACTAGTGGTCGTGGAGTGAGCACATGCTCTAATAACAGAGACAGCGATAACTCTACGATAGATTTAAGTTCAAATACGAAGAAAAACAGCCAAAAATATTTTACCCAACCTAATGATATTACTGTAACTGACTCGACGTCATCTGGCTCAATGCCATTACTAGCTCTGCACGTATACACTTCTTGTTCCACTGACGTCATATTTGCAACGACCAATGTCTGTCCTTGATAAACAACATTGCGGTTTTTGTACCAGGTTATTGTGGGTTCAGGACCACCTTGGGCAGCACAATTCAGAGCAAGAGGTTCCCCTGGGACTTTGGCTCTTATAGGTGCCATAGGGACAATTCGAGGAGGATCTGAAACAAGAAAGAATAATTACGAATATGGGAATAATTATAAATGACAGGAATAATTACGAATAATTAAGGGACCTCAAATTTTAGATAGTGTCGATGTAAAGTGGAGAATTTTGTTAATGGATTATAGAAAGTGGACTAAATTGTCGCCCGACAAGATTAAAGAACCTCGTCACTTTTCTTATTCTTGAAATAACGAGTTTAAATTCTACAAAAATTTTCATATCCTCCCCATGATCTTTAACTCTTTAATCAATCCTTGTTTCTGATGAGTTCTTTCACACTAACGGGTTTTTAGACAAGCAATCTACCATCTGAACATTTCCTTTTATTGTAAGTAAACCTTACAGGTTTTTCCAGTTGAAAAAGTCTGATAATGACTCCAAATTCCACCACCAGCTCCATTCACCGCTCGGACTCTTATCTGGTACTCAGCGTTTGACTGCAAACCGGTTAAACTGGTACTATTGTGATTCTGCACAACTTTAAGTGACACTTGCTCGTGATTGGTAACTTTGTACTCAACGTAGAATGACGTCACCAGATCTTCCTGCTGAGGATGCGCGGAAGTTGACCACGAGACCAGCGCCGACCAGCTGTCCATTAGTTTCACGTGAATATCACGTGGAGTGGGAGGAGTGACTGAAAATGTTAAAGAAACCAATTTTAAGCCGCTTTAAGGACATTTTTTTATGGCGTCACTAGACGCATAGATGATAATCAAACCTCTTTTTGCGATGTAAAGTCACGGGGCAAAAATTGTTGTCCAGAAATCTCTCTTCGTGATGGGAAGAATAGGGATCCTAAACATGAGGTTATCGCTTACCTTTGGAAAGATAAGGGACAAATTTATCCTCAGTATAGGGGTGTGAGGAGTCTAAATTCAATTCAACGAGTTGCCTATTCTTTGACAACTCACCCCACTTCACTTGCACAAAGTAATATTGTCCCCTGCCTCTAGTACTCGCACCATCTGATTCAAGTTATGTTTCAACGAACGTGACGGCTCAATCACTGTTACTGCATAACTTATTGTCATATAGGAATTGCGTTTATGCGTTAATTATCTGTGAGCGTTTGTACGTTTCATCAGTTATATTGTGTCAGCTGTGGTTGATGTTTAGATCGTTCCGTAATATGACGTAATTATGTCGAGTAATTTGTCGAGTTTTGTGTTTAAATTTAGTCCTGTATATCAATATCTACGTCCACTTTTTAAGAAGAAGCGTCATCGGTTTTGTTTTTTGCCCGTAAAGCTATGCACCGTTAAGGTAAGTATTTTTCTTTGTTGTGACTTTATTTTTAAGTTTACGTTCTCTAATATGCATTGTCCCGCTCATGTTTAATACCGTAGGCGTGTAGATTTTTTAATTAAATGATGAGCACAAATAGGCGTGGCTTCGCTTACAATGACGACCCAGCGACTTAGAGCAAAATATGGTTTAAAGTATTAGTACTTGACTTTCAAGCTGAAGGCTATTTTCTCTCACCTCGACCGCAAACAAAGGGATGTTTTAAGTCGAACTCCTCATTTTCCCATAATCCCGAAAATTCATTCATTTTTGTACAATTCTTTCTGTTACCAGGGGAGGTGTCTGGAAGGTTTGGACCCCAATTAGTGTAGCCCACCAAAGATCCATCCGACCAATGAAATTTTTTCTCCGTATCACGTGATAACCCAATCCATACGCTCGAGCTTGGATTGGTTGGCCTTATCAGGTTTAAAAAAACGAAGTAACTCTCTTCCTCCGTATCCAACTTGGCTAGAGTTGCCTTTTCTGTTTTGCACACGGCCTGGGCTTCGTCCCAGGTTCTTTTGTCGTCATAAAGTCTGAAGCAGGAGTCGCCAACGGCTTGCCATCCGTTCCAACAGGTTTGATCGCCTGTGAACAGGGGATTATTGTAACAAATGAAGATGGGACCAGCGTAAAAGGGTAACAAAAGCACCTTGAAACGAAACTGTTCAAAATATCCAGGCACGAAGAGACTAAGAGACGAAAGATGAAAAGATGAAGGGACAGCAAGATAAAGGTATAATGGAAAAAGGGAAAAAAAAAAGAGCCGGATAGAGGTATGGAAAAATAGAGGGAAAGACTAAAATGGTGAAACGAAGAATGAAAGGATCACATAACGTATAAAAAGATTGACCAAACTGTGCAGAGTAAAAAGAATTTGCAAGAGTAGTGAAGTGACGAAGGGAAAAAAATAACGAAGATGAAGAAGTGGATCTAGGAATGGCAGCATAAAATAGGCCATGTACTTACTAAACATCACAACCTCGTATACATCACTGGCCATTGCGGAGCCTTTCCCATTCTGGCATTCCGCTGACAGTCCGTACTTGCTGTACGTTTCTTGCGCTGTTAGGCTTGAAAGACAGCTTCCACCATCTTGAATTGCAAAATAACCGTAGCCATTTTTAAGAGCAACACGGGCGCATTTCTGTTCGGCGTCCTCTCTTGTTTTAGGCTCGCCGTCTAGTAAGATATCTTTTCCTTCCAAGGAGGGGACTGCTGGTGATGACGGCTTGTGGGCATAGCAACCGACATGATGTAACTGCACTGTGAAAAAAGGAAACATCGCAAGCACTATTTACCCCAAGTTTTACTACTCACTGCACAGTTTGTCAGGTTTTTTCTTATTTAGAAATATCTTGAACTCTGATTCGTCTGTCGACAATAGATCATACCAGGAGCACAAGTAATGGGCTCCTGATCATACCCAAGAACCAATCAAAATGGATATATAACTCAGCCTATCAAGTAATAATGTAATAGCTTCCACTTTACCTCTTTTCTGTTAGACAAATACAAAATTCCGCGTTGCCGTGTGTTTGTTCCGTAATAGGTCACAGATGACGTAAAATATTAGAAGAATTAACTTGGAATTATCGCATTTTTCTATATTCCGTCTTTCACCTCTATCTGAAGAGACACTGGAAAAAGCGGAATACAATTTTTAACGCATTACCTTTGAGCGGACACCTATCTCTAACATCATTTATCTCCTGCTCAGAGAGTGACTTGTTATAAACCTGTAAACAGGCAATGGCACCCTTGTAGAAATTCGAATCACCCTTTAATGCACCCACTCTCACGTCATCTTGTGTGGATATCTTAAAACTTCCCATACTCAAACGAGACACTTGTCTCCCGTCGATCCACAATCCGGCAGTTCCAGCAGAGTAATCGTACGAAGCTGCTACATAATTCCACGCTTTCAGCCGAATTTTGTCGCTCTGGATTGCGTAAGGTTGCGAAGAATCACGCATTTCAAACTTTGCAACAAGTCTGTTAGGACTCTCTAACCATAAATACACTCCTCTGTCTTGAACTTTGTAATTAAACAGAGGTCCTTTAGAGATTTCAGGGTAGATCCAGGCCACCAATGTCATAGAATACTTAGCATCAAGGCCTCCGTTATTTGGGAACTCCAAAAAACTGGCCGATGACCCGGAGAAGTGGTAAGATCCCTCGGGTTGTCCGTAATATCCTGTGAAAAGGTCAACACCCTTTGCAATTCCTGACGGGTTGTTCGCTCGGCTTATGTCCTTTGTACCATGCTGTTTGTTGAGTGGATAAAGAGCAATTGGCTCTGGTAAGCCTGTACGTAAAATAAAATGAATATAAGCTAGATTATTAATTAATTGATTGTTTTACTTGAAAGATAGAAATCGATATGGCTGACAGTTCTCAACGAAAAAAATAAACATACGTTGCCTATCCGTTACCAACTTTACAATTATTGGATTTCTCACAAGAAGTATCCAAAGCAGATTGTTACCGATGTACGAAAGTGGATAAAAGAAAAAACACGTAGCTTTTCGTTTACCTCATAGAAAAAATGAAAAAAACAAAACAACTATTGAGGAGGAAAAGGCGCCGCCGTTTGGATGTCATGCAACGTTGCGTGACAAAATGCCCGAAATTATCGTGACGCAGCGCTTGAACGTCACGTCATACTATTTTGGCCATATTGTTTACTAATGCAATAAGTCAGCTGAAATATTGGTAACTAATCGGCTATACATTCTGATAGTTAAACAATGAACAGTTAATTGATTTAAAAGATATTTGGTTCGAAGCTCGTTAAACACCTCATCTCACAAAAGGTCTACCACTAATTATCTAAATGTCATTTGTAGCAAATAATTTACGGAAACGAAACCACGAAACAGTTTTCAATTTTAGCTATAAATACTCCAAAACATATTTGAAATTCAAGAGTGAAATAAAAAATGCATTTGTGTAGCAGGTAGCGAGATTGTTACCACAAAGTCAAACATTGCACAGATACACAATTAGAGTGCTGCTAAATAAACATTTTTTTAAAAAATTGATTTTATCATGAGCCTTTTACTTCTTGATTGATTCACAAGAAAATGTAAATTGTTATGTTAATTCATCAACCTTAGAATTCCCTTAAAATATTTGGCGTTCGATCCATGAAAATTCATTGACTTGTTAGTCCAACGAATATTAAATATCCGAGACGAGAGGGCATGCATAAATAGTAAATTTTCCATGGAAAATGTGCTCGAACGATTTCTATTCATAACTTGCGATGCATCGAAAAAACCGAACGAACGAGTTTTTTTCAGAGAAACGAAAGAAGTACTCTTCATCGTAAATCTCAGTATCTATGAGATAAAATAATATATACAATGAATGACGTTGTTTATCATTCATGAGTTTATGTCGTCTGTCACCTGCATTCGATGAGATCATCTCATACCGTTCGCAAGTCAAAGGGAAAACTGTTTCATTTAAGCATAAAAAGGTTCAAGTGAAGAAGCATATTCGACCGAAAACCTATTCATCGACTTGCCTAAATAACGCCCGCTTATTTCAAGAAATGAATTTTGAAATTATAGTATACAGGTTGTATTGTTTCACGCCATTTAACCATTCAATAGAGTCGTGCTAGCGTACTGATAAAATATAAACGAATTGCTCGATATAACACGCGGAAATCACGAGAGTGGCGTTCGCAATATTTAAACGTAGAGCGGCAAAAATGAAACTCTGAATTTTTGCGGGTTTTTATATGCTTTTTTTCAAATATATTTACGTTAGTTCTAGCGAAGCCCTTCTAAAAAAATAAAAATTTAAAAAATGTTGATAAAAATTTTTGAAAGTCCTTTGGTGCCTATGTCACAACTTTTTACACATACTCTGTGATTACACGGTGTCAGTTTGTTGAACAGAAGTTATCAACAATCACTATGGGTCTGTTGTGGTCATACATGCCCAACTATTACACAAATGTATTTCCGTTAAATATGCTCGCGATGTTATCTTTAACAGTGTCGCTGTGGCTCCACATCAAATCAACTCCTTTCGGTAATGAAACCTGACGGAAAGTAAAATTTGGCAATCTACTTCAGTAGTAGATTTGTTTCATTGGTGCAAAAGCAGAAGTTTATCGAAATAATACCGAAAAGATCGATATAAGTTTCGTTACGAAGCGTGACTGAGTTGAAAGTTTTCAACCGCGAAGGCTTTTTATAATATGCTCAGTTATCGTCAGTCAAGCTATAAAACTGCCACTGTGATGTTACCACAACTTACCTACAAATCCAGTAACTTCGAACGAAACCGACACGAAGACTACCACAAAGAGACTCACCGCACAGCTTTTAGAAAGCATCACACATTTGAAACAGCCCAATGCCATTCCGTTCATACGATCTCTTCCGTGAAAAACAAAACGTCCGCAAAACGTCTGTAAATAAACACTAATCCGGGTCAATTTGATATCTAACTGTCAAAACTGATTCCCTATCTCGATAACTTCTCAGCCATTCGCAAATGACGAAGCTAGTAGGAAAGAAATAGCTCTTGATTTTGTTTCTAACGATTTCGGTTACAAAGAGTTCAGATAAACAATGGGTCACGAAACAGCAAAGATGCGATTTTTTAACCACTTGTGTTATTCAAATTTTACATTATCTATAGCTAGGGGAATATCACGCTAAACTTAGCATCACATGTGCCGCTAAGACAAATATCTCAAATTTCAGAATAAATTAAACTTGCCATCATAACAACACTATGAAAAAATTGCAAAAGTAAAGAAAAGTTAAGAGAAGATTTAACAAATTGCAGGCGAAGCGACCTGGTTTCTCTTCATTTCCTGCACTGCTGATCACAAATTTCTTTTGTTAATGAATACATTTTTCGTAAGGTATCAATGTTTCCGGAGTGCTCAAATAGCCAGGATTCTTATACCTCTAATAAGCATATTGAATCTCTCTCGCACGCACAAAAGCGATTTAGATCAATTATTTCTTCTCCGTTTTATTGTAATTGCTTTCTTAAAGATATTTAGGTTAAGACGAAAAAAATTGAAAGATCATTGAAAAGTGACGTAACGTAAACCATCTTGCTAGGGCTCACCACAGGTAGCCCAAATTCAGACTGTTCTTAAATGAATGGTGCTCCTGTCCTGAGAATTATGAAAGGCAAGGCTGATATCAGATAGCATTTAAAAAGACCGAACCAGCTGTCAATGGCCAGCAACTTGATGGCCTACATTTGCTTTTTCGTTTGCATTGTTTTCTTCATCTTTTTCCTTTCTTCGTGTTTTCATTCGTTTGCTTGAACTTTGCCTATCCTTATAGCCATCCTAATGTTGCTGGATCCAAATTTCATTGTCGAGATATATCTGACGACATCACCCGTTTTCAACGTATTTATTTACTTATCATTATTTCTCATTTACATTGATGCGTTATTTTCAGCCAGCTGTAGGTTTGCAGTATTACAATAACGCTTTTCTGAAAAAAATTGGAACGCAAAATTTCGATAATTTATGACATTTATTTTGAATGGTTTAGAATTAAGCTTTTATGTCACACTCTTGACATCTATTCTCAAGGAGGACAATAGCAACCCACTGAAACTTTGCTTCAAATGTTTTAAATTATTTGGTCCAAATCGACACTTAATCTGAACACGAATATTTATGTCAGCATATAATCTGAAAGAATAATAACTTCGTTTTCTGTTTTTCTCCCTTCATTTTTTAACTGATTAAAGTTTCAACCCGAGTGACAGCGAAGCATTTTTCCAACCATTTTTCGAAACGATCGACTTTGAAGAGAGTAGAGAATTGGATTAACGCTTGCACTCGACCAAACCAAACTTAACATAATTACCATCGATTTGTCCTTGATTTCTCGTACAGCACCGATTAAGAGTGAACCCCCTACAACTGCCCATGGCAGCCAAAATACGTTGAAAGCAACAATAACGCTGAGCAAAATTCTTGTGATACGTTTTCGCGTTTTGAGGAGAATTTGCTCTCCCTCCTGCTGCGAGCAATGGCACCATAGATGTTTTATAAGAGCCAGTGAACTTCGCAGTATTATCGCCATCGGTATTATGTATGTAGCAATGAGATTGATAAAAGCAATTACTTTGATTTTAAAGCTGTGAGTTCCAGTTTCCAAGAGAAAAGTTAAGCAAACCGGAAAGGATTTTCCTTGAAACTTGTTCGGAATTTTCATTACGAGTAGCATCATCGGCAAAGATGTAATTACCCCTACCAGCCAAATTACTGCAATCAAAATACGGGTGTTCTTCTTTTTCGAAGCTCTCCTATGCTTCCACGGATGAACTATGGCGTAAAATCTGTCCTTCGAAATAGCAGCCAGAGTAAGAACGGAACTTTGCGTGGTGAAGTGAATACCCACCAAAGTTACTTTACATACAATTCCCTCGAGGTCAGTTGGCGAAAATTTTCCGGTGCTGAAATAGCGAATGTGAATTTGTTCCGCGTAGAAGAGGGTTCCAAATAGCAAGCATAATATGTCAGATATGGCTAAATTGAGGAGAAGGTAATTGAATGAAGTCCTCAGTTTTTTGTTTGTGATGATGAGGCAACAGATGAATAGATTTCCCGTTAACCCTGCCAATAATATAACTGGCGTAATAACTTCAAAAGCTATTGAATCTTTCAGCGACATGCTGATAACTTTACCAGCTGATCATGAAGTCCTCTGAGTGTTATCTTCTTGCGAACAAGGATTATTACATCAGAAAAATTAGCGATTATTTTAAGGAAGCACTTCCCTTCTATCAAAAGAGGAGATTATTATGCGATTGATCCTCGAAAGTCACTCTAAATTTGCATTTAAAAGGAGACCTAATTTACATTGCGATTCAAAATCAGTCTCCAATTAAAATGAAAACAGAAGTGGTTTGTCTTTTTATCAATAGATATGTATACATACAGAGTTCACTGTTTCGACGTGGCTGTTAAAGAAGTTGAAATTAATTGCAGAATTGAGCAATCAACTGGAATTATCAAGCTCTGTGTGTTTATTTTTCTTCAGCTGTCAAATGGTGTTTATTTTAAGGTCCAATAAGAAATTAATTTATATTTTTTAAGTGAAGTCACTTGAACTTTGAAGCATAAAATCCTGTCCTTAAATAACAGGACAGAATCTGGTGATCATCAGAACTTTCGTTTGATACTTTTGTAAGTAACAAGCTGCACTCAGTTTTCAATTTCAATTTTCCATTTTCAGCTCTATTTTGGTGATCTCAAATTTTTATTTGACCACCTTATGGGAAAATTTGTAGCACCAGCGAGGATCGATAAAACTTGAACATCACCGCAATGGCAGAGATAAGATATAGCTTAGTCACTTAATCACTCTGTTCTGTAGATAACATCTGTTGATTGAACAACTGATAGCACTGCCTTCGCAATCGATTACGGATCTCTTCTGAGTTTGAATATCAATTTCCTTTTCTTCTCCAATCATTCAACTAGAAGAATAGAGTGTTTAAATGAGCAGAATATTGATGTGAAAGACAGGGGCGCGAGATGAACTTCAGTTTCCAGTATTTAAAAAAAAAAAAAAAAAAAAAAAAATTCCTAGTGCGTATTAAATGAAACATTTCCACTGAGTGTTGAAAGGAGCCCGATTGGTTTTGCTACTCTTCCATCCGGGATTGGTCTGAAGAACTCGCTCCTCTTTCTCAACCAATCAGATGCAAAAATAAAATCAATCGCGACTTGCTCACTGTGGCTCTTTTTCCCGCGCTTTTGGTAGATTGCTTGTTTTCCCTTTGAGTTCTGATTGGCTCCTTTCAGGATTTTCCTTCATTTAGATTGGCTGGAACTCTAATTAGGAGACACTACATTTAATAAGTGGATTTTATTGAAAACCAGCTGCCTACATACAAAATATATTTTTAAAATAGACATCAATACTCTCCTCTATTCGAGGTAAGGGAAACGTGTTTGAGAAGGAACACGATGCATTTGATCATTAAGGTCTAAGGTCTTACGAATCCTGCAAAGATCTATTCAAGTGCCTAAGTAGGTTTACGACAAAAAAAAAACAAACAAACAAACGAAAAAAAAATCGAAGCAAAACGCGTTTGTCTCAGTATTCCTTGGCGCTTAGTTTCAACAGTCTCTGACTCATCTCAATGATCAACGAAAAAATTCATAATTGAAAGGAGAAACCTCGAACGATTACACGTTATACACATAACAAAAGAACCCAATTCCCAGTTGACTGACTGATCTGCTGGTAACCTGATCGTAAAGCGGCTCAAATTAATCCCAGGCTGTGAAAGGAAGGCTTTTTGGGGGCTTGCAAAAGACCAATCAGATGTAATGAATTTCGTAATTATCATAAATTTACGTGACATCACGCTTCATGATCAAAGTGGAAACACATTTTCAGCTATCCTCTTTGCCAGTGTTACGCAGTGTCTATGAAAATAAGATTCACATCTTAGTAACGGAGGAAATTGAGGCGCCTTAGGTTATTAAGATTAAGCTTCCAGAGTATTAATGCACACTATTATTAGCTCGTTGTCTCGTGGATTGAGCATCAAGATTGATTTACTTCAAAAAAGGTTAAAATGGACGGAACGATTATTTTTTCGTCATAGCAAGAAAAAAAAAACGCAAAAGCACAAAGAAAGAACAAAGTAGAATCATGTTATTACTTCGACTGGAAACGCAACTGTTTTTATTGGAGACTCCTAAAAAATCATATCGAAATAGTAACATCTGCACCTAAAATGAGATTATCTGATAGAAGTCTAAACCAACATTCTTCAATTTCCCTTTTAATTGGAGGCTTTTTTAATGGAATTTAAAAATAAAGTTCTCGTCCACATGTTAATTAAATGAAAACCTCTGAATATAATTTGTAAACTTGTGTACCACTGTACAATCGGTGTTTACCAAAGATTTTCTTATGTGGTTTTTCTTCGTAAAACCCAGATGAGCTCTGTGTAAAAACTTCAGTTTATCATATTTATATTCAACACTCTGTTTTCGCCTTACGAATACTATTCCCGGTGGATCCATACGGCGCGGTGGGAATGTCGATGAACGCCGATTTAAAAGCTTTTGATTTTGTTACGCCAGTTATAATATTGGCAGGATCGACTGGAAATCTCATCGTCTGCTGCCTGATTATCACAAACAAAAAACTGAGGACTTCATTCAACTATCTTCTCCTCAATTTAGCCATATCTGACTTATCATGCTTACTGTTTGTGGCTCTCTTCTACGCGGGGAAAATTCGAAATCTTTATTTCAGTGACGGAGATCGTACACAATCTGACTTCGAGGGCATTGCTTGCAAGGTAACTGTTGTAAGCATTGATTTAACCACGAAAATTTCTGTTCTTACTCTAGCTGCTATCTCAACGGACAGATTTTATGCAATAGTTCATCCTTGGAAGCACAGAGGAGCTTCAATAAAGACGAAAATACGAATTCTCCTTCTACTTATTTGGTTGGTAGCTGTGGTATGTTGTCTTCCAATGGTGTTTATTATGGCAAAAATTCCGAACAGATTTGAAGGAAAATCGATTGCGCCGCTTTGCTTTAAGTTTCTTGTGGATACAGACAGTTTTAAAGTTATTGCTTTTATTGATCTCATAGCTTCTTACGTTATACCAATGGCGATTATTCTGCGAACTTCACTGGAAGTCATCAAACATCTGTGGTGCCGTTGCTGGCGCCCGGTGCATCGCGAAGAAGGACAAATATTGACTAAATCGCGGAAACGTATTACAAAAGTCGTCTTCAGTGTTATCGTTGCTTTTAACATATTTTGGTTACCATGGGCGGTTCTCCAAGGTTCTCTTTTAATCGGTGCCGTTCACGAAATTAACGACAGAATGTTTCTTATCATGTTTAGTTTGGTATTAATCAGCGCTAGTGTTAATCCTATTCTATATTCAATTCAGAGTCGATTGTTTCGAAAAGGGGTCGGAAAAATGATCCGCTGTAAATCAGTTTGAATGTTCGGTGTAAATCTTAAAATGAACATTAAAGGTACAGGATATTTTTCGTTATTACTTTTTACTGTGTTATAAATTTAATCTTCAACATATACAAATATTAAATTTCAGATTTAGACTCGAGTGAGAGGTCATAATTACTAGTAAGGATTAAGTTGAATGAAGCGAATTATTCTCTTGGTACAATTGTTCCAGAAATTAAAAATTGTGGGTATGAAATATGTCTTGAAACCCTCAACGAATATTCAAAATTGCAGCTCTTTAACCAGTAATAATAAAAGCATTTCAATTAAAAATTTCACTTGCTATTATTGTCTCGTAAATAGATAAAAAATATAAAGTTGTCAGCACTGACCGGATTTACAATTAGCTAATTCAACGTCTGTACTGTATGAAACATTTGTAATAAAAAATTCCACATGCAATTATCGTCTCACAAATAGATGAAAAATATCAAGTTTTCAGAACTGACCGCATTCAAAATTAGCTGATTCCACGTCAGTAAAGTATAGAACATTTGTATACGGCATCAACTGTAAATAAAGTCTCGCGATACGAAACCAGCCTTCTTCCACAAATAATCTTTAAATATCGCTAGAAACCCACATAACAAACATAGACAAACTCATTTAAAGCAAACCGATTAAAACAAAACCCTATTGAGACAAAACAAAATAATTAACGAACGCGATAAAAATGCAAATCAAAATGTAGCCACATGTGTTACTTTCTACTCTGATTGGTTTTTTATTTGTCCAGAAGTAACGTATACATTAAGACGCCTTTGCTCCTCGCGCGCCATTTTTAACTCGTAGATAAGTCTAGTACAGAAAACGAGTTATAGGTTACTCGATTTGCAAAAATATCCTACGCTCTTTGCATCATGAGTTGTGGAGTCGTAGTAAAGATTGCTAGCAGAAGTAAATGGGTCGCTGACGCTCGAATACTTCTCAGCTTTGATTTTGCTTTGTTTTGTTTTCAGAAAAGGAGAAAATTGGAGGAGAAACCAAATTTCTTTATTTAAGGCGAAAAAGTCTTGATTAGCCCGGTGCACTTTCATTCTCTGGGACAGTTGTTTTTTAATTGTATCATTCAAGCCAGACACAATCTATGCATTACTCAAACGATACTCAACTGATTCCACTATTTCGGTATCTAATCATGTATGATCATCCGAAGCGTCACTAGAGTCGGCGTAATCACAGCAAACTAAGGAACTAATGGAAGAACTACTAATTAGCGCTGAATCTTCAGTGCTTCCATCAGGTGTGCCGTGAGTTTCCTCTTGTTTTGGTTGATTTGCGAGGCAATTCTGTGTTTGTTTTAAAGAGACGCTTTGTGACGTCACATCCGGGAGACTTGTTACAGGAAGTTCTGTCTCAGATGCTACATTTACAGCTAACTCAGGGTCTCTCTGTGATCCTAGCTCAGAAGAAACCACTGTTTGATTCACAGTGGGACTATTCGAGAGGTCATCAATCGAAGGGTCCTTATTAGTACTATTGTCTGAGCTCTCGTTATTACTGAGCCTGGTCCGTCGAACTTTAATACCCAATGTCCCTTGGATGGTAAGTTCATTCTTCGACTTGGGAGGTGTTGAAAAAGAATTAACCTTGAGTTGTCTCCGTTTTCCGAGGAGTTGCGTAATTTTTTGTCTTTTTTCCTCTAATTTTCCCTGTGTATCAAATAACGGCCTGTCGTTGATTTCGGAACGACGCTTACGGCGATGGCCATCAAAACCTGGAAGAAGACAAAATTACATTGATTCTGAAAAATGAAATGAATCTACTGTTACAACTCCTTTAATAATCAAACAATAAGAGCCCGACTTGCAAGTTCGTTTTACGCAGTTGAAAATCATTATGATTGCAAGAAAAAACTAGACGCAGAAACTAACAAACTATATCAAATTCCTTTAATCACCAATATAATATCTGCGCTTTTTGTCCTTCAGTGGCAACACAAATGGAATATTGAAGTTCCAAAGAGTCTTCAAAATACTTTTAAAAGATACCTTGGAAAAAATAAACACACGACTTCCTTTTTAAAACAGAGGTTTCGAGCCTGATTCGACCTTCAATATACTCAGAAACATGACCTTTCAAACTCAAACTCAAAAAGTCAAAATCTCCGTCATTTCACACCTTTTCCATGATATCTTATTTTATGCGCAAGTTCGATGTCTTCTTCTCTTTCTGGCAAAAGATTCACATCCAGCGCTCCTCTCTTTTGCAACTCTTTGTCTTTCATAGCTACAGCAATCAAATCCTGTTTCTGCTCACGAAATTTCTTTCTGAGAAGTTGATTAGCAGCGTAGTCATCATCCCATACAGACTGAACTTCCTGGAAGAGGTTAAAAATGTTTCCAAAACGTCTTCAATAGTTATTTCCTAAATTGAAGAAGGGATAGGGGTAGATTTCTGTTTCTGCCTTACCTGCCAATGCCCCCACCACCCACCCCCCCCCCCCTTTTACCTTTTGACAACTAAGAGTGACTAGCATCTAATTTCTCCTAACCATATCACCCCTAAATCCCACATCAAGGTCATGAGAATAATGGAAAAAATCACCAGCTAAAGAAGCCCTTGACAGCATCTTAGAAAATTTACGGAGAACAGATGGGAGAATATGCATATTGATGCCAGGGTGTTAAGGGGTTAAGAAGCCATCTGCAGAGTGGGACTTATTACATTCCTTTTCACACTCAAGCTTATTAAATTGAAGCATAATTATAAGTTCCACTTTTCTCTGCTCTGAGCTGTCAGGCCATTTTACCTTAAGCTGTGCTAATGTGGGCAAAGCTTTCTTAGACTTTTGTTGATCTTGAACACCATGTTCCAATTTAAACATTGCATCAACGGCCATTTTCTTGACATCCTCCTTGTCTAAGATAATAAAATAAAGGAATTAAATGAAATAAAATGACATAAAATGATGTAAAAATTTGACAAGATGCAATGAAAATAGCTGTAAAACGAAATGAAATGAATGAATGATGAGATAAACAATGACAGAAAATAGATCAATGTGTTTTTTTAAAACCCTTACTGGTAAGAAACAAGCCACTTAAAATTGGTTGTTGCTGTACTGCACCTTAACAACAGCCAGCTTTCACTATGCAAAGTCCATCAACCTGTACATGGGTGTGTGGGGAATAATGCTAAAAGAACTCTCACTTTTGGTAGGCAAACCAAATTGACTGTTGCTGTATTGCTCCTTAAAAACAGCCTGCTTTCACTACACAAAGTCTAACAACTTACACAAGTGCGTGTGAAGAATAATGTTTTGAAAAGATTAGCCAAGCATGAAGAAGTTCAGATTAATTATACCATCACATGTATGTAACCCTCACCCCCCCCCCCCCCCCCCCCCCCCCCCCCTACATATCAAATTTACATGTAACTTCTCCCCATAATATCCATACAGAATCCAGGAAACAGGTAGTGAGAATATTCAAACTTATCAGGTTTAAGTTTTTACCTTGATCTACCACCAAATTCTTGTAAGTTATTTACAAGGAAATATGTAACAGCTAAAGGAGAGAATTAACAATGTGATCTAGTGAGTAAAAGGGTTTAAATTTGTTATTTCTAGTCTTGATTACCTGTTAGTTCAACAGTTTCTGTAGCTGATGGTTCCCATCTTTCTTCTTTCCTTCTGGCTCCACTCACAATAACATAATCACAGTTCTTATTGAGACAAAAATAATCAAATTGATGAAACATATAACAAATTTTTCAAAACTTAACTACATTGTAAGTTGTACCAAGAGCAGATCAAGATCAAGAACGGAGTTAATTAATTGAGGAGGATTGTAATTACTTTGCAAAATCTTTTCACATATTTAAAGTTTTCCCATTGCATAAAATAAATACACTATACAGACATAGGGCCTGATATTCCAGAACATTAGGTTTAAACCAAACCATGGTTTTATGCAAGCAGCAGGCCACAGTGATTCTTAATAAAAGGGTTGATTTAATAAAATAAATTTTCTTCCACTGTAAGCTGTTGCCTCTCTTGACACTGTGATCAAATGCAAATGTTCAGATAAAGCTTTTGCTAAATTGAAGATTAAAAGCTTAGAACATGCTACTGTTAAACTAATGCAGCTATACTTTGTTAAAATAACCAGCCCCTGGATGTCCAAACAGTTTGTGGTTTCTACCACCTTAACTCTTTAACTCCCAGAAGTAATTACTATGTATCTTCTCCCTATAGTACCCATGGGATACATTACACAGAAAACAGGTAACGAGAAGACTCAAACTCATCAGGTACAATTTATTGCCTTGATTGAACACCAAATTCTTGTAATCAACTTAACAAGGAAATGTGTAGCAGCTAGAGGGGAGAATTAACAATCAGATCTTGGGAGTTAAAGGGTTAAAGGTAAACAGGGACTATCATTTTTTTTTTCTTACCTTTGGATCAGTTTCTATTTCAAAGTGATTATCACAAAGGTGACATTTCATGCGAAATCTGTAGATGGGTGTTGTGTAGTAGTTACCAACTTTTTTCTTTTCTGCATTGTACCTCACACCTACAGGAGAGCCAATTAAAAGGCTAAGCCACACTGAAATAGATAACTGTCAAAAGAAATTTTGATTACTCTTTACTACCCTTTTCAAGCTTGTCGAAAATAAAATTAATATTTGGACCTCAAAAAACTCTGAACACAAGAAATATTTATCAAACGCTAGTATACATACAGTCGAACCTCAATTATCGAGGGTATAGATAACTAAGAATATGAATGTCAATAGGGAACAAAAACTGATTGGATTAAGAAAGCCACATTTAATTGCAAAACAAAACATTTACAAATCATTTTGAAAAAAAAAAGGTCTACATCTTCACTGTCTGTCGTGAATACCTCTACACATGTGGATTAACAATTAAAATTAATGAAAAAAAATGTTTTTACATTGGCCTTAAGTGTTGAAGTAAGTCAGTTTGTCTTAAAGAAGAACATGGCATGTACAATGAGAGTTCCATCATTCTTCGAAGCTGCATAATCTGGGTAGCATCATTGTACCACAAAAGTGGAGAGTGCTTTTCACCTGCACTAATTGGCTGGTTCAGAAGTGAACAGCACAAACCATTCAATTCTGAGTAGCCACTGAGACAAAACCATGTATCAAGAGTTTAATTTCTGACCATTTTTCAGTCTATTGAAAATATACCAGTATGCTATATTTTTGGTATCTGTGAGGTATATACAAGAACAATTATTCACCTCCACTTTCATGAATAATTGTTACCGGTATGTTGTGTTACACCGAAAAAGTTCAATCAGGTGTGAGAAAATTGTACTGTAACAACAACAATTAGTTGATGGTTCTCAGGCTTGATGCTGTGTGCTAAAGTTTAAGTATAGTTCTTGAAAACTGTGTGTGTGTAATACTAATTTTGAAAATGTTTTCTAATAACTATTATAATTTATGCATACTGTACCCATTCCAATATGATTTCCACATCCTCCACACCATATATTGTAGGGCATCTCAAATCTAGGAGAGCAAGGAACAGATTTTTAACAAATTTGAGAATTTAAGAGCAGCGAGTGACACAGGTATACTCTGAAAAAATAAATAAATAAATAAATAAATAAAACTCTGAGTTCTCCCAATGGGAGTAGAACCTACATGATCTTTCCATTAACCCTTTAGCCCCTAAGAGTGACTAGCATCTAATTTCTCCTTACAGTATCATCCCTAAAACAAACAGGAAAGTCATGAGAATAGAAGAGGTGATCACCAGCTACAGCAGCTCTTGATTGTTACACAAATTCTCCTTGTCAGCCTCTTTGGAAATGTATAGAGAACAATATTGAGAATATGCATTCTGATGTTAAGGCGTAAAGGGTTAATACTTCAGATGCTTTACCATAGAGCTGTAGGAGACTAACAGCAGGCTAGGCTTCATCACCTAACATCCTCTTGAATCAGAGTTACTACTCCCCTCCCTGGAAGGGAGTTTCAGGGGTTGTGCTGAGGTTGGATTCTTTAAGGAAACTCAGACTTTTTCTTTGTCACAGGAAAAACATCTTTCTCTATTTCTTTACTGAGCTCAAAAACTTACCATCTTCCTTATTCTATTTACAAACATGATGCTATCAACATCACTGATCCTAGCAGTATGCAGGACATATGCCATATATAACCTTCAGAATGGGCTTCGCACACTGTAGAGTCTCTATGGCTCAGTGTCAGAGCATCAGAGTGCAGAATCTGAAGGTCTGAGGTTCAATTCCTCATGAGGACTCACAATTTTTTACCATAGAGCTGTAGGAGACTAACAGCAGGCTAGGCTGCTAGTTTTATTAGGTCCATGATAACACCCTTTCAGTATACTGCGAGGATAGAAATGTCACCATGTGATGCTTTAAATTTAAGGGGTACTTTAAATTTAAAAAAAAAAAAAGGTCTTGTTGCATTTGTGACACACTGCCAGATTCTCCTTTCTAATTGCCTCTGTTTTCCTTGTGAGACAAAGGGAGAAGTAGATGCTGTATGAAACCTTTACACCTTAACATCAGTATTCATTTTCTCCATACTGTTCTTTGTACATTTACTAAGGTGCTAACTAGGAGAATTTGTCGAACAATCAAGAGTTTCTTTAGTTGGTGATCATTTCCTTTATTCTCATGACATTAATGTGTGATTCAGGGGTGATATTGTAAGGAGAAATATTTACACCAGGTCTAAACCAAACCATGGTTTTACGCAAGCAGTAGGTCTCAGTGATTCTTTGTAAGAGGGTTGAGCTAATTAAAAAAAATCTCCTTCCACTGTTAGCCTTTGCCACTATTGACACCGATCAGAAACATAAATGATCAGATAAAGGTTTTGCTAAATTGAAGATAGCTTAGAACACGGTATTGTTAAACTAAGGCAGCTATACTTTGGCCATACCACTATACAATCATAATACATTGAAAATTTATGGAAGAGACAGTGCTAACAGGATCCATCGTAAAAAGGGAAGTATTTTGCGATTTGCATTAAAAAAAAAAAAAAAATTGTTAATTTTCTGGTTAGTATTTACCTAATAATGAGAATTCCTTGGCCAAGCTTTCGAGCTCGTTCACGTAACGGGTGTTGTCCATGGTATCTGTCAAGCGAGCCCTGATAAAGAGACGGAGATCGAACAGTTTAAGATACACTGTACATACAATTTTGTTGGATATAGTCATAATGTAATGTAGAAGAGGAAAGTTTAGTATTTACCTGTTGTGGAGTCCAATCTGGAGGGTAATATTTATTAACAGCTTTTCTTTCTCCCTATAGATGTAAAGTAGAACCATATGAAAATAACTGTTAAGTTAGATTAAGGATTTGTAAATGAATATTTACCATTTTCGAACGGTGCTGGACTTGAGTACCAAATTATGGTAACGAAATCGACAACGAAACGTTGACAAGTCGATTTAAGGTCAGCGGATCCTTATGCCGAAGCGACTGTTGAGATACGCGGCATAATCTGTCTCTAAAATAACATGTTACCTTTTCTTTTGACCAAAACCTATAGTATTTCATAACTAAACGCATAACTCTATAATTTTAGTATTTCAGATGTAAATTTTCCAATTTATGTCTAATCATAGATACAGTTGGCTTGACTTATTTCAATCTTGACGTATACATGAAGCACTTTTAAAAGCTCCTTAGCCAAAGACGGAACGGAGGTTAATGAGGTACTGTTTTCGAAATATGGCGGCAACTGTCAAAGCTTTTTCAACTTTGCCGACAATTAAATTATTAGGAGCTTTGATCTCGCTTTAGTACTTTTGGCAATGGCCTTTGACAACAGGAGAGCTCTTTGGCTGGCAGCTGGCCTACTTTCAGGCTTAGGGACGGCTTTCTGTATCGCTGAATTACGAAAATTTATCAGGGAAAAATGTACGCGTAAACCACTGTCCCATCTGGAAGATAATATTAAATTAGAGGATCTGGAAATTCTCGTACGCTCTTCCAATTACTCACTGAGGAAGAGCGCCGAACAAGTTGTGCTGGATAAAGCAATGAAGAACAAAAATTTAGATTTTATCGTGAATGCCTGCTTCAGTGATGACGAATTTCAAGTTTTGAAGGCAGTTGTTGCTCTGGCTATGCTGGTAAAGAACTCGGAACGCAACGAAAGAGAAAAATTGATTGAGCACAAAGTACTTGAATCGCTCTCTCACTCCCTCGTTCAGTCGGTGCAAGTTGGCTATAGAAGGCTAGTCGAGATGGGAGGCTATGACTTGCGTTTGCAAAGATGTGCGTCGGAATCGTTATTTCATTTAATTTACGATGAAGAGGCGACTAAACTTCGTCTGGCTCAGTCAAATTCGTCCATTTTCGCTGTTGTTTTACAGCTGATTTCGGAGGGGAGAAGCAAAGAGGTTATGCGATGGAGCTTGTTCATTGTTCATCAGCTGGCGTCCTGTGACTCGTTGCGACCTGAACTGTTAGCCAACGGTGTTATACCAGCTGTCTCGGCGATGCTTGTGAGAAACCAAGGAGACTTTATACTCATGAAAACATGTCTGCACACCATGGTGATGTTTGTGAACAATACTACGGAAAGTGAGATTGCACATCTCAAGGAGATGGCTAAATATGATGTCTTTAGGACGGCGGTAGTGTCCCTCAGAGCAGGTACACGTAAACTACGATTTCTCTATATGCAGACAGATGAAATTGCACTTAAGACCTGTACTTACAAGTATTAGGCAATATTTAAATACAGGGAAAACTACACATGAGTTGGGCTGGATTGGGAATTAAACTTTTCTTCCAGATCACTGAGATATAAGAATCTATATCAAAAATACATTAAAAGAAAATCATACCTAATTTCTCCTTACAGTTTTACTCTCGATTGAAACATTAAGGTAATGAGAATAAAAGAAATGATCAAAAAGTCAAGCTGTTGACTGTTGGAAAAATTATCCTCAGTGATACTGATGCATTTATAAGTTGATGCCAGTTGTTTGTCAGGTATCAGAAATCATACATTTTTCTGGCCAATTACTTGTAATTCTCTTGCTAAATTTTGATGGGGTGAGCTATTTCCTCCCCAGGAATTTCTATCCTTTTTCATTTCACTTTTCTCCAGCTAGTACATTGGTTAATGAAAAGCCCTTATATGAAGTGATAGAAATCTGAACTAGGGGATATTGTTTGAAAAAAAAAAAATTCTAAAGCTAAAACTATAGGAATTATAATGTATACAGCAGGGACAGGTGACATTAATAGTTTGGCAATCAAAAGGTTGACCATTAGTGGCCTTATTTCTCTTGAATCAATTTAAATTTTTGCATAGATGATGGTGACCTTGTTTACTGGGCAGCTGGACTTTTGCATCAGTTTGCTATTCAAGACCTTTACAAAGCAGAAATCTGTGCCACTCCAAACATTGTCAAATCTTTGCAGAATGTGTTATGCTCAAGTGAAGCAACTTTACAAAGACTAATTCTGCGTCTTCTCAGTTTCTTGTGCGTTGGAAGCAAATCCTTCAGGAACAGTGTGCTTCACTGCTCCTCACTTGTGGCACGGCTACCAGTTTGTCTTGCATCAGGTGACACAGACATTGTCCACTGGTCAGTGGTTCTGCTTCATGACTTGGTTCTGTCTGAAGGTCAGTGCTATATAGGAACTCTTTCTTAATATAATTTTTTAATTTTTTAGTTTTTTTAAAATTTTTTTTTCTGGTGATATGTGGCCTTGTTACATTCTTTATTAATAATGAGTCAATTACAATTTCCTAAAATGTGATTGATGCATTAGTGCTTTATTTTTTACTTATCATTCTGTACAGTTGTAATCAGAAAGTGTAATCAGAAAGTGTAATCAGTCAGTTGTTGTAATCAAACACCTGTATTCGGACAGTTAAAACAGCCAATCATACTAAGTCCACTCAGCTAAATCCACCAATCACAGAATTGACCACAAGAACCATTGCAATGACCACTTGTTCTAAGAAATTTCCAGAATTGAGGAGTTTTTTTACTTTAGGCATTGTCTCTACAGGATAATTATTTTTTTATCTTTTGGAAATTGTGACAGTTATGATTACTTTGTAAGAGGACTTCATGTCATCCAGTTTTTTCAGTATGTAATTTTACTCGTAATTGACAAATCAGACATCACTTTTATGATTATGGACTGAATTTGATTCCACTCAGTCCTATTACCTGCTATTTATTTACAGCATTAGGGGACTTTGGATTGCTTTTGTGTATAATTACTGTATGTCACCCACTTAAAAATAATTCACCCCCAAGCCTATTTTTACCAGTATTTTCATGAATCTTTGCCACTTCCTTGTTTTCATAAAGAAATTGTTTTGAATTCTGTTTTGGGAAATATTTTCCACTTGAATCAGAGTCACTACTCCCCTCCCTGGAAGGGAGTTTCAGGGGTTGTGCTGAGGTTGGATTCTTTAAGGAAACTTAGACTTTTTCTTTGTCACACGAAAAACATCTTTCTCTATTTCTTTACTGAGCTCAAAAACTTACCATCTTCCTTATTCTATTTACAAACATGATGCTATCAACATCACTGATCCTAGCAGTATGCAGGACACGTGCCATATATAACCTTCTGGCACACTGTAGAGTCTCTATGGCTCAGTGTCAGAGCATCAGAGTGCCGAATCTGAAGGTCTGAGGTTCAATTCCTCATGAGGACTCACAATTTTTGCTTTGTTTCATGCTTGTGACAAGATGAAGAATATCTTTCTCTATATCTTTACCCAGCTCAAAAACATAAATGTACCATCTCCCTTATTCTATTTACAAAGATCAATCTTTTGACACAACGATTGTCTTTTGTCTGTAGGGAATCCAGCTGCAAATCGTGCTGCAGCTCTGAGAGTGCTGTCCATGGCTACTGATGTGATCAAGGCTCTGGTCCCGCTGGCCTGCAGGCAAGATAACATCTTGATTCGTATGGTAGCAGAACTCCTTGGTCTCTTTTGCACTATTGGTAAGTTGTGCTTGTCAAGTCTCACATGATTAGTTTTTAGGTTTTAAAATGTTAAATACTCATTTATCATCCATCATATCATTACTATCCAGAAAATTTACAAAGCAGAGTTCTTGAGGATGGCTGCCTAAAAGCTGTGCTGGCTTACTCAGAGTCAGCAGATACTGAACTGCAATTCTGGGCATCAGCTCTACTGTTGAACATGGCCATGACATCTGACGGCGTCAAGAAGGAAATCATTATGCTGGGAGGATTAAAGTCTCTAATGGAGTTAGCCATTGGAGACAGTGATCACCCGCAGTGTTCTGCTCATGCAGCCAAGACTCTTGTCATGTTGGGATTTCTTGGTGAGTGGAATGGATTGGATTATAAATGACTAATTACATGAATAGTACTCCATACTGTGATCATTTTGGTCACACTTGAAAGTAGAAAAAATCTTGAGGCATAAATTTGCAACAGAAATAATTTTTTTAAATTTATCTACCCACATTACACTTTCAATGTTTGTGGTCCAAGCAATATCCAGGACTAAAGCCTGACTGCACATATGATTTTTAAATACAAAATTCTTCAGGTGTTTTTCTCCATCATTTATACTAAAATGACAGAAAATGCTGTGGGAAATGAAGACTTTGCAAAACAGCTTCAAAAAATGCTTATATTGAAATAACAGGGTTTTCAAAATGCTCCTTTTCTTTTTGTGGAAAATAAAACAGGTTTTTGAAAATGTTGATGGAAAAAGTTCTTCACTCACTGTCTTTTCATCAGTGTTTTCATGCATTCTAGTGTGAACGATAAATGCAAATGAATTAACACTACTGTCTAAATAGAGACTACTGTCTAATGGTGTCTGATTTTAGACCATAGTGGCTGATTTTAGGCAACAGTGTCCGATTTTGGATACTTGTGTCCGATTTAGGTCACCATTGTCTGTATTCAGACCTGTTTGACTTTAGACACTGGTGTCTGGTTTTTGACACTGGTGTCCAATTTTGGACACTAGAGTAAGATTTCAAATACTAGTGTTCAATTTTAGAAGCTACTATCCAAGTTAAGAAACCAGTGTCCAAGTTTTGACCCTTAAGTCTGGTTTTCGACTTTAGTGACTCATACTGGACATCGGTGTCTAATTTTAGAAGCAACTGTGTGATTTTAGACACTAGAGTCAGATTTTAGACTTTATTATCCAATTTTAGATTCAAGGGTCCGATTTTAGTCACCAATATCCAATTATAGACACCAGGGTTCGATTTTAGACATGGATGTCCGATTTTAGACTCTAGTGTTGGATTTTGGATGCTAGTTTCTGGTGTTGGTTTCTAGTGTCTTGATTTGAGGTTGGGCCAGCTGCACCTTTTTTTTTTGGCTGTTACCACATGTGATCTATAACTGAACAGATGTACAGCAACATGAAACCAATTTGTAATCTTTTAACCATTTAACTCCCATGGGTGACCAAGACAGAATTTCTCCTTAAAATATCAACACAATATCGACCAGATAAGTGATGAGAACTCAGACAAATATCAATTAGGGGATTATAGGTTGATCCAATACCAAATTCTTAAAACTAATATCACAATAACTGTATGGCTGGCAGTGAGGAGAATTTCGAATGAGATCTTGGGAGCTAATGGGTTAAATACTGCTAAAATCAGCGTCTTATAGAAGAATAAAATACTTAATCAGATTGGTGAATAATTAGCTCTGTTGTTTGATGCAGAAAGGTAAAAGTAGCCTATTGAAGACACGGTCAGTCGAATAGTGTCACGATAAGCCAAATTTTCTCGGCTTGGTTTGGGGCTACGTTGCGCGCGCTGCGAGCTCTGCTGATATTCATTCTGTGCGGATCACTATAAAAATTATGTTTTATTATGTCTTCTCTTAGACACAGAAATCCCAGTGTGCATCAAGTCGCTTGGGTACAAAAACGGCGACCGTGTTAGTATTTTAATCAACGGCAAAGAACATTGTCCTAATAAACCTGGTATCAATATTGTGGTGATGGACTTCACGACATTCAACGTCACCGAGGCTGCAGCATTCGATACTGGGCACGACAAGGAAGCCAGCGATCACTTTGTGGAGTTTGTTGATATGATACCAATAGGTACACTGGTTTTCATAGCGGTGCGAGGAGAGGCAGACTATTATATGACTGGTAAGCAAATTGCTTTTTAATAAAAAGAGTATGTTTCTAAAGAAACTGTGGTGCTGCATTGATGGGGAATCATATCAAGATAATTTGTTGTTATTAACTGAGTTAATCGTGTAAATTGGCCACCGTAAAGAGTCTCTAAGCCGACGTTTCGAGCGTTAGCCCTTCGTAAGAGCGAAAGGCGAAATTTGCTCTGGTAAAGGGCGAACGCTTATTATTAACACATTAAATTATCTTAAAATTGCTCTTTAGTTCAGGAAAATTCATTTTTCCGTATCTTCGGGTCGCGGACTCTCATAGCGAGATGCCAGCTCGGGGTGAATTTATAAAGACTACCTAAGTTTTTCAAAGTTGTTTTTGTTGTTGTTTTTACACTCGTTTTCAGACAAGGCAAGGTTGAGTCTAAAAGACATTGGTATCGAAGATTATAATTTCAAGACTGGCGAACTTTGGACATTTTGTGGATATAAAAGAAGAGACGGAGCAGTACAGATTTCTCTTCAACGAGGCTTTGATGTTGTTGAGCTGTCCACGACGTTAAGTTTAGGTAAGAATTTAAAATTATAAAAAGCATATTCTCCGTACTGTGCTCTATTAATTTCCTTAAGTGCTAACAGGGAGAATTTGTTCAAAAATCAAGAGCTTCTGTAGTTGGTGATCATTTCCTTCATTCTCGTCACCTCAATGCGTGATTCAAGGGTGATAATGTAGGGAGAATCAGACATAGTTTGAAGCTACACTGGTTTGCAGATTTAATGAATGTAACCGAAGAAGTTACCATTCATAGACCCAACGTTTCGACACTCCTGTCTAGTGCCTTCATCAGGGGTGATGATGAAGGCACTAGACAGGAGTTTCGAAACGTTGGGTCTATGAATTGTAACTTCTTCGGTTACATTCATTAAATCTGCAAACCAGTGTAGCTTCAAACTATGTCTGATTGTCCACCTGGTTGCCGTGTGAACTTTAATATATGTAGGGAGAAATTAGACGCCAATCACTCTTAAGAATCAACGGTTCAAAGAGGTTGTGGTTGTTCGTCGTGATGAAACACAAACAAAGACTAGTTTTCCCAAACGTTGGCGATACGATCTGGTTGGAATTAGACCTACCAAATCGGAAGCAGAAGACAAATTCCACGTGTGATTTCGTCACTTGTGAAATGTAAAAACCAGACTGTTAGAGTCCTAAGTCATCGGACGACCTGAAAACTCGCATTTCGATCAGTGGGATTTACCATTAATCACGAAAAAGTTACTCTGCATTTTTCTCTCTCGCGAGATGCTCCGGGACTGTCGAAGATTTCGACAAATTGACGTAAAGTCTGAGAGCTTTCCGATACTAGCTCCGAGCATCTCCGAAGATATAAGTATGTAAGTAAGTAAGTAAGTAAGTAAGTATATGAGATGTTCTTGTAAGCCAAAAAATAGTAAACAACCGAATTTGAAGCCAGTAGGCTCAGTTAGTTTTACTACTTTTTACCTTCTACCTTTTGAATAAAATATGGATTACCCATGTGTTTCCTTCTCTAGGTTACTATTCAAATGAACAGGTCCAAGGTTACATTTTGTTACCACTGATTGATCTTTTGATGAGCACGCCTGCTTCGCTCGCCATCAGCAAAGTGTCAGAACTGGAGCTGCTAACTGTTCTTGCAAGACATGATCATCATAAAGAAGGTATGTGGAGTTCCCTTCATGATATATCCACAAGGTAAAACTATGTTTCCCTCAGGGAAAGGCGTGCGACAGAAATCATCTATCATAAATTTTTGTCTTAGCGATCTAAAAAGTATGTAAAAGATAAATACTACAGCCTACAGCGTTTGAAATTACCCAAGGGTATGAATGAAGTCGAAAAAGGCTTAATGTTTTATATATATATATCTATATCTGAAAGTTGGACAAATCAGTAAGACATAACTTTTCTGTGACCCTAAACGCGAAACTCAGAGTCACAGAAAAGTTACGTCTTATTGGTTTGTCCAACTTTCAGATATACCACGCTCTGCGAGCGCATCGAGCACTATATATATTTTTTTCTTTTTTTTTTGAACGCGTATACTCTTTGCTTTTATTTCAGTGATGGTCAACTCGGAGGGTTTTATGGAGTACATTGTGCAGTTGATTTATAGTATGGCAAACAAGACAGCTGATCATCTGAGGGCCAATCCATTGCTAATAGCCCACTGCATTGGAGCAATGAAGATTATCACTGCAATCAGTATTTCCCAGGAGATCCATGTAATGCTCCTTTGACTTTCTTAAGGCTAACTGTAAACTGTAATTTAAGCAATGTTAAAACCAACCTATTGTAGCGGTTTCACCTATGCGATGCAGGCACCTCAAGAGAGTTTTCAATGGCATCGTTTTGTGCTTCTGTTACATTTGCTGTTTCCCCACTGGGTTTACGTTCCACCCTTCCCTCCCCCGCGTTTGTTTCCCACCCTCCCCTTCCCCGCTTCATTCCTCCTAAGTTGTCGTGTTGACAGGGGCCCGGCGGTGGGCTTCTGCCTAAATGATGCAAGTTCGTTCTCGCCCTGTGTTTCAATCTGGAGCATCTTTCATTCGTTGTTGTAATCGTCTACGAATGTTCAGGTCTCTAATTTGTAGCATTTTTTTTTATCAAACTTGTAGGATAAATTCACCGAATACAATGTCTTGGATTGTGTTCTTAGCCTTCTATCTCTGATCAACTCTATTCAGCTCGAAAGGCTGAAACAGCAGCTTAAAACAAGAACTAGAAGAATGGGACAAACAGACATTTTGGTAATCGAAGCAGAAGATTTCAGTGACAACGAGATTGTGCAGCCAGTCGAGGAAAACGCAGTTAGTCATGTGGTTAATTCTCCTGGAGGAAACTTCTCCAGTGTACCAGAAGAAGGTTAGTTTTCGGAGTGTTTAAAGGTATTACTTACTATAAAAACTGACTCCCTTACATGCTTACTGCCGTAAACCACCTGCCCCCCCCCCATTCTCCCTCCCCCATTTCACCTGTTGAAGTCCCCTCTACCCGTGGGAAAAAGAAAAAAAACACATCGATTATGAGCAGCCCCCCTCCCCCTCCAGAATAAAGCGTCGCTTGTGTTGAGAGATTGTTACCCTGCTGCGAATTTAACATTTGAATTTTAATAATAGGAGAGGAAGGGTGATCTTCAAAAAAGAATTTCAAAGCGCTTTTTCTATTCCGATTATATGCTTCCTCAGGTATACCCTACCCCCTCCTTCCCCCACCCTTTGTAAGCCATCCTAAACCCTAAGGGGGAGTTTACGGTATTATTGAGGTTTCTTTACTTGCTTCCTTTCGTTTGCAGTGAAACTAACAGCAAGTGGCTTAAGAACTCCGGTTCACGGCCCCACTACAGACGAACCAGCCTCTGTAAAAAGCGGTTCCCCGTTTTATAGCACGTTTGAGAAAAAATCCAACACGAAGCCTCTCCTGACAGAAAGCGTGACAGGAGAAGCGATAATTCAAGATGACTTAGATGAAGCGTTTTCCACTCTTACCGGCCTAAGTGTGATAACGCTTTACAACTGCATCGACTTGATTTCAAGTCTGGAGGAGTTTCGTAGGCGCCTCTCTAAGGCTGAAACTATGCGGATTTTATGGTGTCGACTTTTGACTGCCTCGTGTGGTTCATCGACCATTCAACAGATTGAACTCGCCACTGAAATGTTACTGAATTCGTGCTGCTGCATGACGATGTTGGGAAAGTATACCACAGGTATGAATGTATGGAAGACCTACACCGCGGTCAAACTTCTAAGAACGTAATAACTATAAGACTTGCTTTCGGGCAGTCATAGCAAATTTTGCTTACAGGAGTTACAAACAACCTCTTATATTAAATAAAGCAGTTCACGACTAAATGTTCATTCAAAAGGATACCCGTACTAGATAGAATACGCTTCGTGTTCGGAAAGTCTCGAGTTTCCCGATTCCCTTCTTTTTTCCCCCTTTAAAACTCTTGTGCACTTTTTTTGCGCTTATTTAACGTGACAGTAGTCGTTTCTTTTTTCTTCTTTTGAAATTTTACGCGGGAAATTGACGCGTGGCAGGCAAAAATTGAACGTAACGTGACCTAAACGCCCATATTAACTTAGTCTGCCAGCAGGTTCTCATTATTCCTGTCCTTGGACCTACTGTTGTTGTTGTTTATTTGTTTGTTTCTTTGTTTGTTTGTTTCTTTGTTTTTTTTTGTCGTGCAGAACTTGTGGTAGAGCTTGACGAGCAGACGAAGACTCCGGCTCTTGTACTGAGCGCGGATCGGCTGGAGGCATCAAATCCAAACTGGACTTTTGAAAGCGTGCATGCCACCTTGTGTGTGGGACGTGGGATGTCTACAGTGCCACCTTATCCGGCTGGCTGGTACTATGAAGTCACCCTGAAGTGTACAGGAATACTGCAAATAGGTACCTATTTTCGTATCGTTCTTCCTCGCCTCTCGAACATTTTATTTTTGTTTTATTTTTGTTTTGTTTTTGTTTTGTTTTTGTTTTTGTTTTTGTTTTTGTTTTTGTTTTTGTTTATTTTGTTTTGTTTTGTTTCTGTCTTCATTGTCGTTCTGGTTTTTGTTTTGTTTTGTTTTTGTTTTTGTTTTCCTTTGTTTTGTTTTCGTTTTGTTTTTTGTTTTGTTTTTTGCAGTGGAGAAATCTTTACTTGCCTAATTTAATTGATGATTTATTTTCAAAAATAATATTCTCCCTCTTAAGGCTGGCAAACCGAAGAATGCCGATACGGTCCCGAGCGAGGCGTTGGGGTTGGTGACGACAAGAACTCGTGTGCATTCGATGGTGCGCGGTGTAAAGTATGGAGTGGACCCCCTAGTGAACAACTGAACAATGACTATGGAAAGGAATGGAGTTACGGGGATGTCTTGAGCTGTTTGTTCTCTTGGAATGGAGAGGTGTCCTTTTGGTTGAACGGGGTAGATATGGGTGTGGCGTTTAGGGGGTTAAACCCTGGGGTTAACTGGTATCCTGCAGCATCCATCGCCATGGACCAGCAGTGCTGCTTCAACTTTGGTGGCAAACCCTTCAGGTGTGACTTTCAACACAGAAAAATTTGTTGATACAGTAAAACAAATGAATAAAGGGGGCAAGTTTCTAAAGAAACTGTGGTGCTGTGAAGGGGGCGACTAGCATCTAATTTTTCTTTTCAATAACACCCCTGAATCACGCATTAAGGTCTCAAGAATAAAGGAAATGATCACCAATTAAAACAAAACAAATCAAAACAAAACAAAAACAAAAAGTTTTTGAAAAAATTATCCTTGTCAGATCCTTAGGAAATGTATAGAGAATGATATGGACAGTATGCATACTGATTTTAAGGCGTAAAGGGCTGATCATGTAGCATTCATATGGATTCGCCGGGCATACGAAGGGGATACGACTGTTTTACGAAAAGTCTTCGGATCTACTTGGATATAGCTAACCATCTTGCCTTGCAGCGGATGTGACAGCTATCTTTTGTTCTATTACAGGTATGAAATGCCTGATGGGTACATAGCTGTAAGTCACGTGGTCTCTAACCTGGTCAAGAAAGCTTCACTGCGCCTATCGTCGTGTTGGACACCAATCAGCGGTAGCTTTGAAAGCATTGTGGAGGAAGATGAGGAAGTGATTGATGATCAAGAACTTGAGGCCTCAGAAACTAAGACTGACGATACAGGTATGCTCATATGAGCTTTGTGATGCACCAACAATTGTATTTACTGTGCAGGGATAAATGAGGTATTTCGTATTCTTTCCTAGTAGTATGCAGAACGTTTGTCACCCTGGTCCTTGTTTAACGGCCTAGCTCCTTGCTATAGCTCAATTGTACACCATCTGGAGTACTGTATCGGAAGGTCATGGGTCCAACTTCTATTGAGTACACCCGGAGTTTTTTTTTTTTTTTTTTTCGAGTATGGCTGTGTCATTCACCAAATAATATCATCTTTCGCTTGAAAAACGTGTTCTTCTAATATAGTAGGCAAAACTTAGGGTTTTTTTCCTTTCTGTCGCAGTTGTTATAAAAAGATCAATTCAAAGAAAGTAGTTATTGTTGTAATAACAAGGCAAAGAAAAATGCGATCACTTTTTTAAACCGTTGATAAGTGTTGATTCACAAGAAGCGTTAGAAAATGAATTTTTTGGGAAGACAATGAGCAGAAAAGGTTGAATAGGTTGTCATTTTGTAATAATTTGAAAGATTTTCATGCACTTAAATAAAGATAAACTAATAAATACGCCTACCATAAATCTTCAAATGTGCGAGACTTTTTTGAGACAACCTATACTTAAAAAGTAAGATCTTTTGCGCACCAAAGACTAGTTTTAATAATTAGACTATTATGGGGTAAGTGAGTGATGAAGTTATGGTAAGAAAAAAATGGAGAGGGAGGGAGGAGATGGTAAGAAGGAAAGAGAAAGGGAGATTGATAGGAGGGAGGGAGGGGAGACAGAAGAAAGGGAAATCGATCGGAAAGAAAGAGAAAGACAATTTTGGAGAAAGCCGGTACATGAGGAAAGCTGAGATAGACAGTTGTGAAAGGTTTTATGATTTTATTTTTTCATTTTGTTCTCAGCTCCTTGTGATAAGGAGCCTTCTAGTGTTGCCATGAAGGAGGAACAGCCATCCGTTCTTTCTCTGGAACACAGCGTGGCTGATTCAGACGTGTTGTTTGACTACCAAGACACTTCCTCTGTGAGCGAATGTTCTCTCGCCTTATCTCCTGAACCCACAAATCACTCTTTAACATTTGTTACACCTCCCTCTGGTGTCTTCACCACGCCTCAAAGCTCTCCGCCCAAAGTATCTGGGCATGACGTGTTCTTTCCTGGATCCGAGCCTGAGCCTTCGCCGTTTGAAGTGGTATCGACTGGCGACGAGACAGTGAGTGAAGAAAAGCCTCCATTTGAAGAAAAACACGTGACCAGCACTCCATATTTAGGCGTAGGCCCTTTGAGAGACTCTATTGGAAGGCACTTTGAAGCAAGGTCACGTCTGAGCTCCTGGCCACAAGTGGCAACCCCAGGAGAGTCTTTCATAGGTAAGGAAATGCGTAGTCACGATGGAATTTGTCTTATTCTTTGTCTCTCACACTAGAAGACTGATTATGTAATGAAATCTAATCCTCGGTAGCGAGACGCAATTTTTTTATTGGACTGTTTAGGATATATAATCACTGACTGAATCGCAAAAAAAACGAAGATCGTGGACCTTTTCTATAGAATATTTAAACCATGTCGTGTCTTTTTTCCTTCGATTTTTCTTGTTAACATTTTCACTGAGATTTTCTTCTTCCTCAGAGCCAATTGTGCCTTGTCTGTACTTCGAAGCAGAGCTGAAATTTGCTCCATGCCGAGTCAAACAAATGGGTTTCATCAATGTGGAAACAAGGGAGAAAATTTATTGTGACGTACATGACGGCCATCTTCAGTTTCCCAAGTCGTCCAGTCCCACTCCGCACGAACAACAAAGTTTCAGGGTCCCGGATGTTGTGGGCTGTGCAGTAATATTATCGACGGGACAGATCATGTTTACCTTAGATGGAGTAGCAACCGGACAATTTTACGACTTCCCATCAAGTAAACCATCGTCGATGGTCATTGAAAATCTTTTTCCGTACATATCTTGCACTCGAATCCGTTGTAACTATGGGCAACGGTCGTTCCTGTTTGGGGATGCGAATAACAAAGAGTCTCTTGTTATGAGTGGGGCTCTGCTGCATGGACTGGCCGAAGAAAACTTAAGGCTGTAGGCTGACAATATAAGTGTATTTAGAACAACACAGCGGTCAAACGTCTGCGCATGTGCGGCCTTTGGAATGATTCGGCGGCGTGTTTTCAGGCTGTCAAAACCAAGCGGCCTCACGCGAGTTTCAAGTAGCCACATAAGCCCTCGGTCACTGTGTTTTAAAAGCGTATAGCTTTTTCGGTAAAGCTCAAAACAGAATGCTTTGCAAGTCTCGAGTTTTTCCATTGCTCTATTTTAGTTTTTTTTTTTTACAGATTTCTGTGAACTTTTCCAATTATCCTTTGCTTATTTTGCAAAACTGCGGTTGTTTTCCTTTGAAATTTTGTGCGGGAAATTGGCGCGCGGTCGGCCAAAACTGAATCCCTCGCGCATGCCCGACCTTTGACCGCTGTGCTATTTAGAAAAAGGTACAGTTTCAAGTTAAGGCCCAGCAGCTATCTATGAAGTATTCGATTGCTTTTTGAAATGATGCGAAGCAAGTTAAGTATTTTTGCTGGACCTCTTTTACCTTTTAGAATGTCTTTCTCGTGTCGGTTTGTAAGTTTGTGAAAAATGTATCATAGTGGTAATCTGACATGCGATTAAAAAAACACTCATGTTTCCCGGATTCCTTGTGTCAGTCATGTGGTAAGAAAAACGAAAAACTAGTGACTGTTGGGACAAGAACGATGGAAGAGGCATTTTCAATGCGAGAGGAAAATTTATAACAGGTATTGCAGATTTTTGCCCGCCGGAATCTTCCACAAATGTCTCATTGTTCTATAAATCTAAAAGTTAGTAGGCAGTTCCCAATGCTAATAGCAAATGCGTTAACTGTGATATGCTCCGTGGTGAAGACTGTTGATCAGGATTTCGTCCAAAGTGTGTCTGGAGGTGGGTCCAAGAATTTTCGCTAAGGGACCAAAATGACTTCTCGATCAAAGCACGCATCCACTTGTATCCCCCCTTCTTCCCCCTTTCCCTCCCCCCCCCCCCCTTTTTTCCCCTCTCTGCATTGCTATATAGCACCTCGGCTAGATCCAACTTGGCAGCTCTGCGGTTTCTGAGTGAAAAAATATAAAATATAAATGAGTGAAAAATGAAAAAAACAACAAATGGAAAAGGTTAAATCCTAGAATTTGTTAAAACCCACCTATCAAGGTTATTATTATCATTTATTGTATTCTATTTATTTATTTATTTATTTTTTGTTGGAAGCCTTTACTTCCTCCTTTGTTGACGGATCACCTCATAATTCCAAAGATTTTGCCCGCCAAAATTTCATTTTAGACCTTGGTAACCCGGCCAGTCATCGAATTCAACATGGCCGACTTTCGGGTCCGGATAATACCTAAATTGTAAAGATTCGAAGGGTAACAAGATCTTTAGAAACTTGCTATGGATAAGTTCGTCATTCGAACTAAACGTTCTCCTAGACCTGACCGGAAAATTACCGAGACGGCGAACAGGAAGAAGCAATCAACGATTGAAAGCCTAGCGGTAAACAATTGAATTATCTGCTTCGTTACTAAGCTTCGATATCCTTATGCTTCTTTAACAATTTTTCTAATGCCGTTTGTGAATGTAAATTGGTAGTGCACTGCTTAACATTAGAGTCTAAATAAGCCAGAAAATAACAATTAATTTCCATTTCATACATAACTCTAAATCTACTTCAGATATCAAAGTTAAGGTTGCTTATTGTATTTCCTAGTCACGTATGTATGGGTAATAAAATGATTTATAATGGTTATAGGACCGAGCGGAGTCCAATACGTACACTGTCCTATTAGTCCTCAAATCGAGTCGGCGAGAAACTATCACGATCAAGAATTGTGTTGTAGTTTTGATTATGTGTGCAATTTGGTGTTAATAAGTATGAATAAATTTTTCAAAGACAACGAAATTGCACGAGCTGGTAAGGCCAGTGCAATTTTTAGTCTTTGAACAATCTTTCAATTGCTTATTACACCAAATTGGAAGAAAAACCATGCTATTAGGTTAGTGTTCACACACTATTTGTAATTTACACTCATTTTAAAAATTTGCACTTGTGTTACATGAGAATTAATGCACTCATTTTCCAGCCAATCATAAGTGCATAAGTTTTCATGTACATTATTAGCTGAATTACGCATATATTTTGATTGGCTCTGATGATCTATCAGAGGACAGACCCATAGATGAAGTCATCATTAACCCTTTACGCCCTAAAATCAGTATACATATTCTCCATACTGTTCATTATACATTTCCTAAGGTGCTGACAAGGAGAATTTGTTTACTAGTCAAAAGTTTCTTTCATTGTTGATCATTTCCTTTATTCTCATGACCTTAACATGTGATTCAGGTGTGATAATGTAGGGAGAAATTTGATGCTGGTCACTCTTAGGGTTTAAAGAGTTAATCTTTTTTTTGTTATATTAAACAAATGGATTTCGTGTTGTCATGGGTTTGTACAGTAATAGATCACAGGAGACATCAAAATGTGACAAGAACAGAAGTGACACATTCACCTGCTGTGCCTTATGTGCCACTGCTTTGTTTTTATGACATTTTGAGGTCATCTGATCCGACTAACAACAACATTGAATCTTTCTTTTAATTCTTTAAGAGTGTGGTTGTAGTGGAAGAAATTCAGCGTCTCAAGCTTGAATTAGAGAATGAAGTTTCCACACCAGAGACAATTTTGTCAGCACTAAAAGTCTTGGGCAAAAAGAATTTGTCAAAAGAAGTGTTAATGTCCACCAAAGTTGGACACACAGTAAATCGTCTGCGACGGCAGGGAAGTACTGAGGAGATAAGGCAACAAGCAAAGGTTGTATTCAGGAGATGGAGACAGTTTGTAACAGACTTGGAGAAGGAGAAACCCTTGATAGAGGTTCGCTGTGACAAGAAGACTGAAGCATTAAGAGGAAAAGGGAGGCAACTGATTTCTGATGCTCTGCAAATGACAGTATGATTAAAGTTGTTTGTATATTTAGTTTATTACTGTAATGTGACATCTATTTTCAGAGTCACTTAATAAATATAAACAAACCTCTTCAATTAAAGAAAACAAGAGAGGCTCTTGATTGTCAAACAAATTCTCCTTGTCAGCACCTTGGGAAATGCATAGAGAACAGTATGATGAATACGCATATTGATGTTAGTGTGTAAAAAGGGTCAAGACATTAGTGAGTTGTCAGAAAAACCTTTTCAAATCTCAGTAGTTCTTTACAGCCTGGTTGAGAATTTGATTCTTTACTTGATTAATAACTTCCTTTCCTTATATTTCAGCCATCAGAAAATTTAGTTCTCTATAACCTGTTTGAGAATTTGATTCTTCACTTGATCACTGACTCTCCTTTCCTTGTATTTCAGCCATCAGAAAATTTACCAGAACTTATTGAGAGAACTGTGTTCCATACTTATGGTAGACTTATAAATAATACCTACAAAAGGAAGATGCGTTCATTGGTTTTCATCCTTAAACACAGGGATTCCATCCGAGAGAAGGTTGTCACTGGAGAAATATCAGTCAAGAAGCTTGTTTCATCCTCTGTAGAGCAGCTCACCTAAAAAATTTACAACTTGGTCGTTTATCATGTTGGACAAACAGTATTTATATTTATGTTGAATAAACACACAATTTTTTTAATAATGCAGGACTTGGACAAAGGGAATATATCATAATTTTTTTCCTATATATTATTATGTTATTAAATACAAATAGTATGAAATATTTAAAGATTAAAAGTGAGACTCAATTTCTGACACAAAATGTCTCCTACGGATGTAGTTGCAGTAAGCAGTTTACTCACAATACAATGCAATGCAATAATTTTGGATGTGTTTAATACAATAAATTGTTTATTATCATGGTCCTTTAAGTGCTAAATTGATTTGGATTTTCATTTTTTGAAGACTGCTTAAGGAAAGTGGTAGAAAGGAGAGCTGGGCCTCAATTTGTTGACCTAAGATTTTAATCAAGTTGCATGCCTTGCATGTTGGCGATTGGCACAAACGTTCACGTTAGGTACCGTGTGATTATGCAAGATCAGTCTTTTTCTTGTATGGAAATATCAGAGCTAGAGGGAAAGGAAGGGGTGGTCATAATGTAAATGACTCTGACTTTTTTGGGGCGGAGGGGGGGAGATCACATGGTTCTCAGGGGGGGGGACTACAGAGAAATGACAGCCAATGAGAAGGGATCATCAGAATACTATGGAGCCTTATGGGGAATCAGGGAATATTCATCGTGACACAACCAAAATCCTTCCATCCATCCCCCAAACAGTGTTCGATTCGTATTGATAGGGTTGCAAAATCGAGAAACAAGACGTTATGTCATTCATTGTAAGCTGGAAATGTTTGTTTAGCTAAGGAATTCGATTCCTAATCATATACAGCAAATGTAAACTAGCACACAACTCGATTAGATTTTTTATTTCCACACGGATCAGAAAGCACAATGCAAATCATTTGGTAACCAGTAGTCTCCTCTCGGAGACAGCCGAGCAAATTAAAAATGGGTAACTCACTTTCTCAAAGTCTTGACAATGGGGAGATAAAAGTTCACTTTTATCCCCTTAGTTACTACTTTTTTCCCCCTTAGTTGTCCAGTATTTGTTGTATCCTTTGCCTTCAATCCGTCTTTTTTATCATATCCACTTTTCTTACTTCTTGCGAGGTTGATTCTGTAGAGGCGCTGTTTACGTTGGCTTGCCCGACGTGAGTGACCCCGCTGGCCGAGTGCTACGTAGGACTCTGTACCTCAATAAGAATTGAAAGAGTTAATAATCAGTCCATTATTTTTAACTGTAATTAACAGACGTCTTTCTTGTCTTTAATATTCGAATATTACCGAAGGAAAATCGTTATCGCGCCAAAAAACAGCAACAAAAAGAATCCAATCACTTGCCATATACATGACATCGTGCTTGAAACAAGAACAAGAAATTTAGGGGAATGTAGTATTATAGCCTGAGTTGATAATGTAAATTGGCCACCGTAAAGAGTCTAAAAGCTGACGTTTCGAACGTTAGCCCTCGCTAGAGCGATTGAAAGAATTGTGGGTTTTGTGTGGGTTTATATACAGAAAATGGAGCTACGCTATTGGTGGGAATATGGTGACGAGTAAACAAGAATAAATTAGTTAAATAAAAAGCGCTCGTTCATACCCTAAAGATTAAGAGTGCCGATCTAGAAGATAAATTTTTGCTCTGCAGTTTTGCTGCTTTCCAAATTACCGAGTTGTAAGGAAAGGACGCAAACTGCCATATGCTGCTTAGAATGATTAAGGATATTTAAGTGTCTAGCGAAACAGTTAAGATGAAAATGGCCTTACGACGTAACATCTTACACCTGTCGCCGTTTCGTTCCTAAGTCAAAACAGGTGCAGCACGTAAAGAACAAAAATTCAAACACTGTTATAATAACTTTGCATCTGTATTCTACATTAATTTTGAAATTGGACTTTTTCTCCCAGTTTGCCCAAGCTGATAACAATTCAGTGGCGTCCCAAGGTCACGACCAACTGATGATCGACTTTTGATAACCTATTACTGAAGGATTATTTGAGTGAAGAAGTTTTTTTTTACGTTGTATTGTGAAATTAACCTATCACAAATACAGTCTTACTTTCCCCTCATTATTAATTCAAATTCGCGCAGAAAAACCGGCCTTTTTTCCTCTTTCGTGAGACACACCTCACAGCTTTCGGGCATTTTTCATAGTCAGACGCTACAGATTAATTTTTCTCTCTGCAATTGCTACTAAAAAAAAAAAAGGTTTACCTGATCTTGACTTTGAGGCTGCTGTTAAGAAAAAATATTCCTCGTTGTATCTAAGGATAACCTGCAAAAGAGTGGAAACGACAACAGGATGATGGCGACAAAAAATATAACGGGAAGTGGAACACAGACGACAACATTTGAAGGATTGGAGTGCTCCCCGGTTTGGGTAGGTGAGTTAAAACAACAGTCCGTTTCATTCTCAGCAGTCAACGTTCTCCTCTCCATCACAGCAACTCTTGGGAATTCTCTAATTCTTGTTGCCCTTCACAAGGAATCTTCCCTCCATCCGCCATCCAAACTCTTGTATCGTTGTCTGGCAACAACTGATCTGTTGGTTGGACTTGCTACCCAGCCTCTTTATGCTATCTATTGGATGTCCGTGGTTCATGAACACTGGAGTCTTTGTCGATACTCTTTTGACGCAGTTGGCGCAACAGGCTATGCATTATGTTCAGTGTCATTGTGGACCCTGACGGCCATAAGCGTGGACCGACTTCTAGCCCTGTTGTTGGGACTAAGATACAAAGAGATTGTAACTTTGAGGCACACGTATATCATTTTAGCAATCGTTTGGGTTGTATCTGTAGTCGCTGGTTTATTCTTTTGTCTCAGTTACCGTATAACCTCTTGGTACAGCCTTATAAGTGTATCATCTTGCCTGGCAATCTCAATCGCCTCATACACCAAGATTTTTCGCGCTCTCGGTCGTCATCAGGCTCAAGTACAAGATTATGCTCAACAGCAGCCGAGCCAACCAAATGCACTGAACATGACACGATACAGAAAGGCATTGTACAGTGCACTGTGGGTGCAGTTAGCTTTAGTTGTATGTTATGTACCATATTTTACAATGGAAAGTGTGATCTCTCGTAGTCAAGAGCGATTTCCGAATTTCATCGTAATCAGGGGAATGGTAATTGTCTTGGTGCTATTTAACTCTACTTTAAGCCCGTTCCTTTACTGCTGGAAGATAAGTGAAGTGAGACGAGCAGTAAAGCAGACAATCAGACAAGCAATCTGCTATGCAGAGGGGTAGACCTATTTTAACGTTGGCATGTACTGTTTCCTCTGTAGCTTACTTGAAAAATTATAATTATTAAAAGAGAGGAAAAGATATGCCATTTCATGATAAAAAAGGTGAGGAAAAATATGACGAGCTACCTTTAAATAGTACATTGTATTCGAATATTAATTATCACATGAATAACTAACAGGTGAAAAATTGTAGTTCAGTAGCCATAACAAAACATCAATATGTCTCCAATTTTCGCATTTGTAACGAAGAAGTGAAGGCTATTTTTTCATTGAGTCAGAATGCGCTTAAGATTTTGCTTTGCGATCAAAACTTGATGAGATATGTCACCTTAGCTCATAGATATTGTTGAGTGATAACGAGCTTTTAACGGAGCCAGCCGCTCAATTTTGTAATCTGTTCAAATAAAGAGAGGGAAATGCTTAGAAAGAAGTTGATAATCTCTATTTCATATGGTTATCGTTTGAGACTAAACGTTTACCTGAGATCAATTTCGCAAATTATAACAGAAGAAGATTATAATAAGAAATTATTAAAAAATAAGTCTAACATAGTGGATAAGTACCTGTTTTTCATTATTTTATCAATATCAACTAAGACTTTTTATCGAGTTGCCTCATGAGCCCACAACATTTTGACCACTGTGACGAAGAACATCGTTGTCGATAAAAACACAGACCACAATAACTGTGGCCACGGTCGATTTGTTAAATGGAAAGTTTTCGCTAACAGCGCTGTTTATTACCAGAACCCACCTTATATATTAAACAACTGAAGAGGATTTTCAGAAAAAGAATTGTCCCAAGAGAAGGAGAATTTGAACAGTTAATGGTGTTTGAAGTAAACTGTTCACTGTTAGATCTATTTTCAAACTTTTTAGGGCATAAAGGCAGAGTTCAAGGCAGTTTTATCGGTAGCGAGGCTGTCATTATCTTAAAGTTCCTGTCAAGCGCGACACGTAGAGAACATTAATTTTACATAGTTTTATGCAATCTAGTTTTCTATTTCCCAATACCAATAACATTTACAAAAAATCTTTTACCTCCAACTAAGATAATTCACGACGTCCTAACTTTGCATAAATTGTATCAAAAGTCGATAAACCATCTCATTAATGAAAGTCTATTTAAGTAAACAGGGTTTTTTTCTTGTCGTATTGGGAAATAGTTCTATCACAAATATATATTTGCTTGCCGGGTGTTGCTGATTTAAATTTGCAGAAGAAACCTGGCCGCTTTTTTTTCCTTTTCTTGTAACACACTAGACAGCTTGTCTGTGCATTTTGCATAGTCAAACACTACTGATGAAGTCTGTATATAACTGTTATTCATGTACAAATTAAATTGATGTTTGACTGATCTTGACTTGGAGGGTGCTGTTACGACGAAATATTCCTCGTTGTTACTATAGATAATCTGCATAAGAATGGAAATAACAAGAGGTTGTTGCCTTTTGCCTTTTAGACACTGTCTGGTGTCGCTAGTTTATGCTACATTTTAGACTTTACCAATAAGATATGTGGCTCGGCCGTATAATTACAGAGCAACTGTATAACAGTAATTATAATTATAACAACACCCGCTTTTGATTCCTTAAAAAGAACCAATTATTTTTCACCTCAGGAAAGCCTCGCAAAATGATTCATCCTTGACCATCGTCTCGCTGCTATGATACAAATTCAAACTGATTTAAATTTGTGCCAGGGCTTTTTTTCTAGGCAAAATTCTGTCGCTGGAAAAAGGACGAACATATGCACGAAAATTCTCGATATCACGTGAAGTGAATTGTTGACCCAATCGTGTCGTCGGGACAGGTCCCTCCACCCTAAATTAAGTGATTACACGGTCTTTAAGTCACATTGTTCTTCTTCGCCGTTATCACACCTAACTGAACGATCCTAGGGTTCATGAACAAGTAGAAGTATTTTTTTTTTTTATTTATTATTTAAAATTTTTTTTTCCTAGATTCAAAGACGCTTCCTGAAGTATGGAAACTTTTATAGTTTGAAAGAATATACATAGGTTCTTTCTCTTTGTCAGAGAATGAGACTCTCCACATTTTTCAAATGTTACCGTATCCGATTTTTGCATCTTTATCTTGACTATATCAACAATTTACAGTGTTTGATGTAAGTTTTTGGATGTGTTAGGTTTTATCTTGCCACATTAAAGAGCCTGTTTGGAGACTAAGGTAGAGTTATTTTATTTAGTTGTCCAGTGGGCCGCACAGTCCCACGTGATCGCAGAAGCACCTGTCTGTTTGTTTGTTTGTTTTTCGGCTGTTATCGTTGAGAACTCGAAATCCCCAGTGAATTTATACGTTGTTTTTTTCTGTTCTGGAAGCCTCACAGAACTCGTATGTACTTAGACAAACTCTGAACTTGATATTTTTAGAAAATATTGCGGTTTCTTTTTTTGTGTGAATGTGTTTGTCCTAGTTTCACCGTAGGTCTGCCAGCCTACACTTAAAATACTCGGATTACTGCGATCTTCGCAGTAATGCACACTTCTTGAGCAGTAGTAAAAATGAGGCCTTAAAAAAACAACAACAAAAAAATTCAGACTTGACCCAACGCTCCATCAACTGAGCAACCAGCTAACTGGGAAATGTTCATTATGTTTGTTCCAAATAAACCCGTGAAGTGATTAATAAATGACTGTGAATATATGAAAATCATACATGCGAACTGCGGATGAAGTCGTGAATGAAAGCGATCATCGTGAATGAAAACGATCTTCGCAGTAATGTACCGGCGATCGCCGATCTCTAGAAAACAACATATATACCCAACAAATCACACTCAGCACTCAGCATCAAAAGGTGAAACGAGAAACACAAATAAGATATCTAAACCTCCCAAGACAGAAATATTAAAAGGGCCCTAAAAACCCAAACAGAAAAACGATCAGTAAAAAAACAAAGAAAAATCTAGAAAAGAAAAACAAAGTTGAGAGAAAACACGACAACAACAGGGAAAAAAAATCATGGAGAATAATGAAATAAGAAGCGCGAAGATTGACCTAAGCGCCCAACGTCAGCATTTGCATGAAGTGTATGGGCCGCAATTTATTTCCTCTCTGTTGTGATTTCCTTACTTGATGAAAACATAAAGAAAGTTTAGAATCCTAATTGTTCATTCTAATCTTTGGCTTATTCCGGACAGCTACGCAAACCACTGAGGCGAACTTTTCACATTGATGAGAACCTCCCATCGTAACGAAATGGAACTGAAAGTTTGGAGTACGAAACGCAATTCTTCTCCACTACGGTTACGAATTTGACAAAACGAAACGTTTAAAAAACGTTGCGCCTCGTGAATCCACATGATAGCGAATATCGTTGTCAATAAGAGTACATAACACGCTTAACCACTCTCGATTGATAATTATTTAGTCCTGATCATATTACGATAGAGATCTCAGACGTTTGGTTTACTCGGGTTTATTCCTAATTAGTTGAAAATATGGCAGCTGAAAAAAATTACTATTTGTTAATTTGTTTCGACCATTTCTTGGCCTTGATCCCTATCACCATAGTGAACCTGAATTTTCATCAAAAGGAAGTCAAATTTCATTGATATCCTTCCTCTTGAGAAAACTCAATACTTAGGTAATGTTATCTTTACTTCTAACTACGGATAATTTTCCAGGAAAACAATCAATTGGAATTCTCCAAAGTGAATCAAATTCTAACAAATTATTTCCCAACCAAATTTGAATTTCGGCACCATAATCCTTAATTGAAGCTGTAGACTGTCTTTTTGATGTAACCGGCCAAATTATGACTTTGATGCGTGTGTAGTTAATTGTTAATTTAAAAGGAATATAACCGGTGTACAATGCTTTTGTTGAAAGAACCAGCTGCCAACAGAGTTTTTCACTATTCAACAGAAATCATGTCACGTCCAAAGCTTTTCTCTGAATCTGAGTGACTCCACTTTACAACTAGACGTTCAAAAGTGAAAAGAGGACTGAAAACGTTTGGCATTGGATGATGCTTAGCAAACAGATTCAAGCCCTTTTTCACATTCATCTATTAAGGAATAGATGGAGAGATTAAAGTAACATCAAATTTCGTTAAGGTAAAGGAAGCGGCTTCCTACTCAAAGGCTGCTGCGACACTGATGTTCGTAGTATGCTTCATATTCGTTTTCTGTTCAGTTTCGGGCTGTTTACCACTTAAAATGGAATGCGACAAAAGTATTAATAATTGAAAAAAGGCGCTAAATTGTACGCAGTTTCGGCAAATTATTGATAAAGAAAATGGTTTTAACCGACGCACTTTTGTGAATTATATGCCATGACCAAGTACGGAGCGCACAGCCTTTAGTCCGTTTTGTGATGAAAATGGGTTTCTTTTGGGGATTAGTAGCTTCCTTTTCAGCGAAACACAAAAGGTAACTTGTGGAACTGAATAGATAACAGCAGTTATTTCTCATAACAGGCCTTCCATTTTCTACGCAATAGATTGTTTTCACGGAGATCAGTCTACAAGCCTGAACGTAAAACACACGGTGATAAAACTGGAGTTTAACGAGATGAATGTAAGTAACCTTGAGGATGCATTTAATAATTCTTCCAAATCAGTGCTTTTTGGCCCAAGCATACCGCAATTCAAATGGGACTTAAAGCCAACACTTTCGCTTCAGCTCACCATTGGCGCAACGGCCGTTGCTTGTCCTTGGATCATCTCTCTAAACATGTTCGTGATCCTCGTAATCAAGAAGGTAAGAGAGCTACAGACAAACTCTAATATTCTCATTGCCAATTTGGCCGTGACTGATCTTTTAGTTGGCGCAGTTTCTATGCCACTTTCAATCGCTGTGGATGCGCTGATTCTTCGAGGAACTGTATCACGTAGCATTGTTTTTCTACTGAATGAAATCGGTATCTCTGTACTGATCATTTTGTATACTATCTCCTATCACCATTTATTGCTGATAGCTTGGGAGAGGTATGTGGCGATAGTTAAATGGACAGAGTACAAAGTGTTAGTCACAAAAAGACGCTTAAAGAAGTATACTGTGATCGCTTGGATGGACAGCGTCACAAAAGTGGTCTTACATCAAGCATTAGTTTTCGCTGAAGTTCCCCATGAAGTTCTCTTTGCGTTGGATCTTGCGATTAACCTCAGCTGGCTCACTGAAACTTTAACGTTGCTATATTTTTATCGCATGATTTATATCTTGGTACGGAGACAAAACAGATGTGAAATCAGCCAATTGAGTGCTCTAATTAAAGCAAAAATGGAAAGGAAACTTGCTTACACTGCGTTTCTGCTGTTAATGGCTGCTTTCGTCTGTAGTGTTCCGATACTAGTAGTCATGACCTCGGCATCATACTCACCGGTTTTTAGCACGTATTCAGCCTTACGATGGGTATATATTGTGGTTCAAATAAACTCTCTGGCGAATCCCGTCCTCTATTTTTATAGAAACAAACGTTACAGGAAAGCTCTGCTACAAATGATAGGATTGGAGAAGACACAGGAAATGGAGCGAATTGATCTCAAAGGGCGTTGTGCAAGGCGGAACCGTTGCACCGTGGAACTTGGGGACACCGAAGGAGCTCTAAGCCTAAAACGATCACATTCATTTCCAGAGGAGACTCTTGGACCGAGGAACACGAGAGAGTCGAAAGTCACAAAGATAGAAAGAAGAATATCGGCTTCATGTTTGACGATATCAGACAGCTTGCAAAGCGGAACACAAGCCCTCTCGCTACACGGTATGATGCGTATAGAAAATAAACCATGATAGACCATCAGAATTTGTCCATCCTGATAACCAAGCCAAGGGCTCACATCACCACGAAAGGATGAGGTCAAAGTCATTAAATGAGATGTCGTTCGATATGAAGGCAAGTAAAGCTACTGAAAACGTCACGAAAGTTGAATGTCAAAGAGACACCTGGGTGCCACTAGTTTAAACGTCTCCAAATGAAAGGACACAAGAAGAGGAGAGTCTCAATGGGGTGATGGCTTTTTATGGCTTACAGTTAAAATTTTGACCATTTTACGGCTGCAGTTAATTCTCCTTGTCAGCACATTAAGAAATGTATGGAAAACAGGTAAAACAGGTGTAAAAGCTGAATGAGTTCCTGTCAGTACCAATATCCATCCGCAAAAATTGATTAAACATTTAGCCTGTTTTGATGGCAAAATTTGGTCACACGATTTAGATTCACTTGTTATAAAAGATACGCCATATTTGAAAAAAATGTTAAGTACCGTAAGACTGGCTGTTTTTCAGTACGTTACCAACGTCAATTAAACCATTTATCGAGTCATCGCTTCTTCATGAGTCCACACTTCTTACCATTCTTTTTTTTTTTTTTTAAAGAAGAGGAGGGCAACAGGAATTCTTTCTTCGGGAGGGCTGTTCCAATAGACCAAATCCAATATTTTGATGACAATGGAATATCGTTTTTCAAGAAACGCCCAATAATTACCGTATTTCAGCTTTATTTCGACTTTTTTATTTTTTTTTTTATTTTTTTTTAACGTTCCTCGATTCATCTCGGTTACTCGGTTAAATTAGGTGACAATTCGTGCAAAGATCGCTTAAAAATTCGCTTAAGAGGCATTTTCTACGAATTTTCACTGGACCTAGTTTCCAGCCGCTTTATTTTAATTCATTTTATAAAGACGTGGACTTTGTTTTCATCTCTTGAAATATTCTGAGGTCAATGATTAGAAAAAAAGTTGATTATTACCATTTTTACATAGATTCATCGTTGGAGACCAATGGCTTGCAAAAGAGAGCAAGTTCGCAAATTATGACAGAATAAAGTTATAACAAGAAATAGTTAAAAAACTCTAGCATGGTTGAAAAGACTTTCTTTTTTTCAGTATGTTACCAGCATCAATAAAGACTGTTAATCGAGTGCAAAATTGTAGTCCTCAGAAGGTTATCCATGGATTTCTTAGAGAAAGTAATTTTAAAAGCACTTTTCTTACCAAAATTACTCTATCACAGGTCGTGTATACACAGCTGATCTTATGAGAAAACATTCACATTTAATAACAATCCAGTAAGAAAGCTGCTAACACCCGCTCTTAAGTACCTTCCACTGCTCCTAATTAAAAAATAAATGTATGACAGCTCACCACTGCAAGGATCATTTCCGCGCTTGAACTTCATCTGATGGTCAAAAGTATGATTCATGTCATCAAGATTCTAAAAAAAACATCTTAGTATAATATGAATTAGTTGTATCGCATATGTAAATTTCCTCCCGCTAATTGCCGCTTCGAATTTGAAGGAAAACCCGGCCCCATTTTTCTTGTTCGTGTGATACACAAGACAGCTTGTTTGGGCATTTTGCTTGGTCAAACGCTAATGATATATTCTTCGTTTAATTATTATTCACAAAGTGAGGTTTGACTGATCTTTACATGGAGGTTCCTGTTATGACGGAATATTTCTTTTTGTTGCCACGGATAATCTGCAAAAGAGTGGAAACAACAAAAGGATTTTCCTATTGCTTTTTGGATACTGATGGTGTCGCAGGTTTATGCTACATTTTAGGCTATAATGATTAGATATGTGGCACGCCGTATAATTATACGGCCTCTCTATGCTAACTATTGGATATCCGTGGTTCACAAACACTGGAGTCTTTGCCGATACTCATTTTACGCAACCGGCGTAACAGACTATGTATGTGTTATGTTCAGTGTCTTTTTCGACGCTGACGGCTATGAGCGTGGACCTACTTCTCGTCATTCTGTTAGGCCTGAGATACAAAAATATAACCGTATAACCTTTTGGGAAAGCTTTAGAGGTACACCATCTTGCCTGGTAATCTGAGCCCCCTTGTTTACAAAGATTTTCCGCGCTGTCAGTCATCATCAGGCTCAAGTACAAGATAATTTTTAACAGCAAGTGAACAAAACAAATGCACCAAACATGGCGCGATACAGAAAGGCTGTGTCCAGTGCAGTGTGGGTACATTTAGCATTAGTTTTCTGTTATGTACCAAACTTAACAGCAGAAATTGCGATATCTCTGAGTTTAAATCAATTATCGAATTTCGTCACAATCATCATTGTCGTTTGCCATAATGGCGAATGTTTCAGTTTTTTTAACTCCACTTTAAACCCGTTTCTTTACCGTTGGAAGATCAAATATACAAGAAGACTTATGTTTTTAAATACTCAAGAAAATGTTAAAAATGCTCCTTTATTTACTTTGTCTTACAGTCATGAGCTAAGCCAGGCAAGCCAAGCTGAGACTGAGATTTAAATACAATATGATGAAAAGATGTAGAATGTCCCAGGCTGTTAAGCATATCTCTATTAACAGAGCTCATAATATATTTAGTTGCGAAATGGTACACGGCACGATAGTAGCGGTGAAATAAAATAACGGGGGAGTTTGAGTCGGTTCGGGTCGGGTGAACACCGTTCTTTAGCCGACTCGACCCAAGCCTCACTCTTTCTTCGCTCCGCCCTGATTATCGCGCCGTTTACCGTGCACCTCAGTCATTTTACTAGCTGAACGCCTCAAACAGGCCGTGTTATCACTCGATAAGCTGTCAAAAAAAAGCTGCGATACAGAACACAAGAGACTACTACATTTATTTCTACGAGTCAGTAGTGGAGCCACTTATTACGAAAGAGGAATCGAGAGACAAAACGAATGCAATCTCCTGCCGCATACATAACAACTTTAATTGTAACTACGGTAATGTTTTGCAATCAAATAATGACTCAACACAAAAAAAAATTCAATGTACTTACTAAACGGTTTATTAAGCAAAAAAAGTAAAAAAGTTTCTGTAGCCTTATGCTTTGCGCTTATGAAATGATTGAATATTTTTATTCGGTAGCAAAACCGTATTGTAGAAAAAAAAAAAAGCTAGTACATGTATAGTTTTTCAAAAAAACTAAAATAAAAACCTCGGCTAAAATAACATGGTATTGGTGACCATAGATTCATACAGAGGAACTCTTCCAACTGCTTCCTGACCAAGTAACATCTGCGTTGCAATCTTTTTGCTTTTCAGTTTGCCGTGCGTATGTGATTATAATTCTGACAAGTCCCGGTATCACAGCATTGGCATAGGCACTTCAGCATCTGTCAATAGCTTTCAGCAAAGGTTTTCCTCAGTCGAACACTGATGTTTTCATTGGGTTTATTTTCTTGTTGTTGTTGTTTTTTTTGGTTTATTTTTGTTTTAAACAATTGTCACAGAGATTATAAATTTGACCCTCTTATACGATGCCAGATCCAAAATGTCGTTTACCAATTACAGGTAACTAAGACAAACAGCAATGTTCAGTAGCAAACTTTTGCCTTAAGACCAGAGATAATTTGCAAACACAATGTCTCCCGTGGGAGGAGCGTTTGAATTATTTATGATCTTTTCACCACCTTTCCATCTCTTAAAATGAGCGACACGTAGAAAAGAAAATTAATTTTCAAATTTGACTTTTTCTCTAAGTTTTCCTAGGCTGAAAAGTTCATGTCGTCCTAAAATCACGTGAATTAATAATTCACGCTATTATCCAGGTAAGGCAACGAGTCCAATCCAAACAACACGTCGGCTGATGCGTTGATTAATGCGTCGGCCGACGGCAATCGGTCGATTTTCGATATCCTATCGCTGAAGGTTTATTTGACTAAAGAAGTTTGTTTTATGTTTTGTTGGGAAATTAACCTATCACAAATGCAGTTTTACTTTCCCCTTATTAATAATTCAAATTCGCACACAAAAACGGGCCTTTTTTTCTCTTTCGTGTCACAAACCTCACAGCTTTCGGACATTATACATAGTCAAACGATAGTGATGAATTTTGTACTGTCTGTAATTGTTATTCAAAAACTAAGGTTTAACTGACCTTGAAGTAAATGGTGCTGTGAAGACGAAATATTCCTCGTTGTAACTAAGGATAACTTGCAAGAGAGTGGAAACGACGGCAGGATGATGGCGACAACAAATCTATCGGAAAGTAGAACGCATACACAAACATTTGACGAATCGCTATGTTCCTCGGTTTGGGCAGGTGAGTTTAAACAACAGTCAATATCATTCTCAGCAGTCAACATTCTCCTCTCCATCACAGCAACTCTTGGGAATTCTCTCATCCTTGTTGCCCTTCATAAGGAATCTTCCCTCCATCTGCCATCCAAACTCTTGTATCGTTGTCTGGCAACCACTGATCTGTTGGTTGGTCTTGTTACCCAGCCTATCTATGTTACCTACTGGATGTCCGTGGTTCACGAACACTGGAGTCTTTGTCGATACGCAAGGGACGCAAACATCATACCGGGATATGCATTATTTGGAGTGTCTTTGTTGACGGCGACGGCCATAAGCGTGGACCGACTTCTCGCCATGTTGTTGGGACTGAGATACAAAGAGATTGTAACTTTGAGGCGCACGTATATCATTTTAGCTATCGTTTGGGTTGTATGTCTAGTCACTGGTTTATTCTCTTATCTCGATTACCGTATTGGCTTTTGGTGCAGCTTTATAATTATACCATCTTGCTTGATAATCTCAATCGCCTCGTACATAAAGATTTTCCGCGCTCTAAGACATCATGAGGTTCAAGTACAAGATCATGTTCAACAACAGCCAAGCCAAACAACTGCTCTGAACATGGCGCGATACAGAAAGGCAGTGTACAGTGCACTGTGGGTGCAGTTAGCTTTAGTTGTCTGTTATGTTCCACACTTTACAGGGATAATTGCGATTTTTCTTAGTGCAGAGAGATTTTCAAATTTCAACCTTATCTACGGAATGACAA